GGGATCTCCAAAGAAACCTCATCTGAGGTGATCCCAGACCTGACGTGTGTGTGTGTGTGTGTGTGTGTGTGTGTGTGTGTGTGTGTGTACACGGGTCCAGCTTAGTGTGTGTGTGTGTATGTGTGTGTGTGTGTGTGTGTACACGGGTCCAGCTTAGTCCATCACCCACATCAGCCTGCACACACTGTAGATGCAATTGCTGGATCAGTTCTGTCTCCAATGGATGTTGCAGCCCAGCTCAATCCAGTCTGCTGCATACTAAGCCCTCAGGTAAACCAGTATAAACCCCGAATAACCACCACTAGGCCTTTGGTTCTTGTACTTGCCAATATGTGCAGAAAACTGGTCCAGTCTTTGCTACATCTCATTCAACCCTAGAGCTATTCTTGAGCTTTGTTTTGATATTTAGTTGTATTTTTGTTTTGTTTTACAAGCAATTTGATGCTTTCAGGTCAAGTTGTTAAAATTGGTTAGAAGTGACTAAAGGGGTGTTGACTCTGGGTCTGATTATTTACCATTGTGGAATCTAGACCTGTCTGCTTCTCCATTCAGAGCTCTACATACAAATTATGAGGTTTTACACTCTGACTGTGGAACAGGGCCCTATTTCTGGGTGTTTTCCTCCCTGGTCTCCTTGTGAGAATCCTCCTATTACCTGGGTGTCTCAGCTCTGAATCTTCAACTTAAGGGTCTGCTGGGTTCTGAGTTTCCTGTTTGTTTATTCTAGAAACAATCTCCAGATGAAACAGTTAACTGGATGTATGTCATTCACTTAAAAAAATTTTTTTTAAAGATTTATTTTTATTTGTATTGGAAAGGCAGATATACAGAGAGGAGGAGAGACAGAGAGGAAGATCCTCAGTCAGATGATTCATTTCCCAAGCGGCCACAGCGGCCGGAGCTGAGCCAATCCAAAGCCAGGAACCAGCAGCTCTTCCAGGTCTTCCACCCGGGTCTCCCATGCAGGTGCAGGAACCCAAGGCATTGGGCCATCCTTGACTGCTTTCCCAGGCCACAAGCAAGAAGCTGGATGGGAAGCGGGGCCGCTGGGATTAGAACCGGCAACCATTTGGGATCTGGGCGTGTGCAAGGCGAGGACCTTAACCCTACAGTATCGTGCTAGGCCCTGTCATTCACTTTTAATCTTTGAGGGATTACTCTTTTTTCATATACTGCTGTTTCCTGTTTCCTTAATAAACCATTGTTACTAATTTTCATTTTTGGTAATTGTTTCTGGAAAGAAAGTGCAACACAGTTCTTGTGTTATAGCTGGTAACAGGTATTAGGGTTGATTTACTCCTTATCTGGTTACCTTCCTCAATTCATTTCTTGCACATTTCTTTTAAATGCAACCTAAAGTAGAGCTGTTTGCTTTAAACGTGCTCATCTTCATTTTTTTTGCATATATTTTTGCCTTTAGAGTGCTGCTCTGATCTAAAATTATTTAATTAGGATAGGACAGGATTAGCTTTGATGAGGTCTGATTTTGAAGATCCGGTCCCATGTATCTTCTGTTTGGGAATAGGAAGGTAGAGGTGTACTATGGCACTTCTTACGTTTGTTTGTAGTTTAAGCAGTTTAGAAATGAAGCTAGATTCCAGCACGATGGTTAGAAATATCTAAGCTACTGAGATGTCTCGTGGAAATGCTTTTTCAATTAATCATCTACTTGGCCTTTATTCAAACTGAGCATTTACCTTCCATTTGCCTTAGTTGTAGCTGTGTTTATTCCTTATTAAATTATGAAACATTTAGAAAATGTATTTCTTATAATTTGAAATGCTTAAGACTTAACAACTAGAATAATTTGAAGTTATGTTTTTCTACATACAAATTTCATTCTATTAGTTTGAGGGTTTTTTTCTATTTTGTAAAATGAACCAGTAATTCCAGTGTTCCTGTGAGGATTTTAAACATAAATGCAGTACAATCTTTGCTTGTTTCCATTGAAATAAAAAGACTATCTCTGAAGGACATAATCATTTAGTGAAATTTTATTGCCAGAAAGTAGATAGGAGTGGAATTTTTTTTAAAAAAAGATTTATGTATTTTTTTTTTTTTTATTGGAAAGACAGATATACAGAGAGGAGGAGAGACAGAGAGGAAGATCTTTGTCCAGTGACACACACCTCAAGTGACTGCAACGGCTAGAGAGCTCTGCCTATCGGAAGCCAGGAGCCTGGAGCCTCTTCCAAGATTCCTACTTGGGTACAAGGTCCCAAGGCTTTGGGCTATCATTGACTGCCTTCCCAGGCCACAAGCAGGGAGCTGGATGGAAGTGGGGCAGCTGGGATTAGAACCAGTGCCCATATGGAATCCTGGTGCTTGAAGGAAAGGGCTTTAGCTGCTAGGGTACCACGCTGGAACCAGGAGTAAAGTTTTTTTTTCTCTGTGGGTTTAGGAGAGACAAATAACTGATAAAGACTCATAGGCTGCTTTTGTTTCTTTCTAGATATGCCTTTCAGGGTAAACAAAGTCAGTCCTTGTAATCTGTGTTATAACAAGGTGATGATGGATTTTCACAGTGAAAAAAGCTACTAAAATTACAGAAAGGCTTATAACTGATTAGCCATCAAAGATGATGACCTTTACAGTGAAGGAATTAAAACTGCTTCTTGAGTCTCTGGGAGATTAAATAGTAGACAAAGATCTTTTGGCATAGCAGTTAAAATATAGTTTGAGGTACTTGAATCCCATGTCTTAGTGTCTGACTTTGAGTCCCAGCTCTGCCTCCAGTTTCCCAGCTTCCTGTTAATATGCACCTGGGGAGACAGTGTGTGCTAGCTCATGTAGGTAGTGGATTCCTTAACACTCACACAGGAGAGCCAGGAGAAGTGGCTTTGTCCTGGCCCAGCCCTGGCTGTTTTGGGCATTGGCAGTGAACCAGGAGATGGGAAATCATTCTCTTAAAAAAAAAAAGTTTTAATGTATGGAATGTGTAATATTATGGGGGAGGCACTAGAGTGAATAAAAATGAATAAAAATTAATGGTAGCACTTAAAGCATTTCCACTAAATACTGTATGACTTGCAATTTTGAATTTTAATATCTTCATCTATTACAGTGAAATAACTAACATTCAGTGGGTAGATTATATTGTACCAGCTGGTTGGCCTACTTATATGTCATTTAATCCTCCTGCTAGCCCATTTATTACATTTTTTTTTAAGATTTATTTTTATTATTTTTTTATTGGAAAGGTGGATATATAGAGAGGAGAGACAGAGAGGAAGATCTTCCGTCCAATGATTCACTCCCCAAGTGAGCGCAACGGCCGATGCTATGCTGATCCAAAGCCAGGAGCCTCTTCCGGGTCTCCCACGCGGGTGCAGGGTCCCAAAGCTTTGGGCCGTCCTTGACTGCTCTCCCGGGCCACAGGCAGGGAGCTGGAAGGGAAGCGGGGCTGCCGGGATAGAACCAGCGCCCATATGGGATCCCGGGGGTGCAAGGCGAGGACCCTAACCACTTGCGCCACCGCACCGGGCCCCATTTATTACATTTAATCCTCTGCTTAACCTTCAGGGTAAACAGAATCTGCATTTTGCAGATGGGTTTCTGAAGCTCCAAAATATTGAATAGATTCAAAATGTCTACTTTTGTTTTAAGGGATTATTGATTGCCTTTATTACTCTTAAATTCTTTTAGTTCCTTTTAATTTCTAAAAAATACTTGAGTACTTTTGGCTATGAGCCATTTTGTATGCTAACATGATAAATGTCCAAATTGCCCATGTCTGATGCTCTTATTTTTATAACCATCAGTTTTCCAATGTACAATGTATTCTGGAATTAAGTTAGTAATTAACTCTAATCTACAGTATCATCTTCTGAAATTCTAAAGCATCTGATATTACTCATTTAGTAACATAATTGGGATATATGTAGTAGTTTTATATTCACAAGATGAGGACTCAAATAGCTACATGTTCATATATTACTGCTAGGCTTCGATCAAAAACTCATGAGGGAACTTCTTTTTCTATTGACATTTGTTTTTAAAGAATTATTTTTATTGCAAGTCAGATATACAGAGATGAGACAGAGAGGAAGATCTTTCAGCCAATGATTCACTCCCCAAGTGACTGCAACAGCTGAAGCAGAGCGGATCCAAAGCAGCCAGGAGCCAGGAACAACTTCTGGGTTTCCCACGTGGGTGCAGGGTCCCAAGGCTTTGGGCCATCCTCAACTGCTTCCCAGGCCACAAGCAGGGAGCTGAATGGAAAGTGGGGCCGCTGGGAGTAGAACCAGCGCCTATATGGGATCCTGGCGTGTTCAAGGCAAGGACTTTAGCCACTAGGCTACCATGCGGGGCCCTCTTTCTATTTACATTTAAAAGAGCTTTGTGTATGTAGCACATGTAAATAACTGAATGAATTCTGTTGGATAAATTAATCAGCATTCTCAGTTACTTCTTGTGGATCAATTTGCTCTGGATAAGATGTTTTCTAAGTTCCTTGACTTTGCCTAGGTAATCAGTGCAGTTAAAACCTTCAGTTTTAAAAGGATTGTTTAAAAATCAGTTGTGTTTTGAAAAGACTTCTTAAGGTGTGTTGACTGAAGTTGCTTGTAGACTTATTTAATATGGAAATCAGTTACTTGGCTTAGTACTTCAGCTGTTTAATGTTCTAGAAGCTTACACTCTTTTCACTAGTCGTTTTCTTCCGCTAGTCAAAGAAAGCAAAAGGATACTTGAGTAGTACTTAGGATATTGGAGTGACCTACTCTCACTACTGCTTGTACTGTTAATTCAAAAGTCAGTTAACTTTATCTAGTTTTCGTTTCCTTACCCGTAAAAGCCTGAGTTCTATTTTGTGACTTTTCAGTTTTCCACATTTTTATAAAACCTGTAAGTTTGAGGTGCATTGCATTTCAGAATTACAAATACATTTGATTTTTGCACTTAAAATGTTAATAGCTTCTATTAATCATGTCTTCCTTTAAAAACATTTTGTGATCCTGTGTCTCTATTTTTATAGTAAATTTTCTTTTCTAACCTATCAGTACCCCCTCACGTGTTGCTAAAGGAGGAGTGGACCACACCAAAATGAGTCTACATGGTGCCAGTGGGGGACATGAGCGATCGAGAGATAGACGAAGGTCAAGTGACAGATCGCGGGATTCATCTCATGAAAGAACAGAGTCTCAGCTTACGCCTTGTATTAGAAATGTCACTTCTCCAACACGACAGCACCATGTTGGTATGTAGACTCCGCTAGCCTGCCCCGTGGTTCTGAAGAGCATCGGTTTACCTTCTTAAAGGAGCATGGTGCTGAAAACTGTGCCTAATGCTTCAGAGTAAAAATAACTGCTTCTGTTTGGGTATCTCTGTTTTAGCTGCGTTCGGTTCTTGCTGTGAAAAAACATATTTAATTAAAGCAACTCAAAGGGAAACTTTTGGGGGGGGTTAGGGCAGTATTATAAAAAGGTGATCAGTAAGGCTCTTTGAACTAGAAGGTAGATTTTTCAAGTTAAATTTATCTTACAAGGTATAGTGCAGTGTTTCATTCTAAAATAGTTTGTAGTAATTGTAGTTTATAAAGCACATTATTGGTTTAAAAAAACTCTTCTAAAGAGAGTAAAAATTAGGATAACCTTCAGTTATTTATTCAGGTTTTAAACAATAATTCAAATTTAGTAAAAATAGAATGTGAATGAGGAGGTGTGAAATGTTTTACGTTTTTAGCAGCTAATTTAGGTCTTTTTCCTCCTTCCTACTCATTACTATAAATGAACACTATTACCCAAGGTGAATACACGGTGTGACTGTAAAGCGCCTGTGTGAAACAGAAGCTCAGCAATGTGAACTTGCTCATTTTCATTTTCTCCTGGGGAAGAGGACAAATGAACTACTATGATTTATTTTATGAAGTAGTTGCTGATAGTCTGTTGTAATTTAAAGTTGTTTATATTACTAGAGCAGAGAAGTTGTCAGTGTTGAAATAGGTTCTTGAAAACAGACTAGTACTTATAGACCAGAAATTATCATCAGTGTAAATAAGAGTTGACTGTTTGTTAGATGTGTCTGGTAGTAGAATTGCAGGATATAATAAATTATTACGTTCAGCAAATTTTGCTTTTGGAAGGCTACCAGCAATGTGCAAAAGACAAAAAAGAAAGGGGAGGGGTAGGGAGGAGAAAGTGTCAGAGCATCTCTGGAGATATAGCAAACCTAATTATGTAATCAGTAATGCTGTACAGAGTGTTCTAAGTAGCGTGAGTCATGGAGGAATTTGGCAAAAGCTGATGAAACTGATGAGATGCAGGTACATTTTTAGGTCACCTTTAAAGTTGAGTGTTCCAGCCTCTAAATCAAATGTACCCTGAAATCTTAGTCTTCATTTGCCTTTTGTAGACTATTGGAGCAACTAAAGAAAATTTTTAAAGAATTTTCATCTGTAAAAAAATTATAGACAGTAATTATATATCTTTTCAAATATGTGAGTGAGAATGGAGAAGAGACAGACCAGCCTCTAAATCTGTTTTATTTGATGGGCAAAATAATTTTTGTCTGTTTTTAAGGATTGTTTTTCTGTGTGGACCTTCCTTTTGTGAATGTGATACATTGCTGGTTTTAGAATGCCTTCATTACTGAGAGTCCAAACATCGTGTCCTCAGCACTTGGAGCAATTTGAACTGTTGGTCTTAGGAATCTGTTACTAACTTTTTATCTGAATTTATTTACTTACAGATTTGGTCCTATGGGTTTTTCTGTATTTTTAAATGGAAAAATAATTTGTACTGTAATTTCTATCCTAGTCTACATCAAAATTAGCTAGCAATGCTGCTTTTTAAAGGTCTACAAATGAGATTTTAAAAATGGTTTGAGGGGTTTTTTTTGAGTCTTAATTCTGGAAAATGTGTATTGTGTTCAGTAATGTTATTTGAAATCAAAACACACAAATACAGTTATGTAAAACAACTTATCAGATCTTGAATATTTGAGGAAAATGTGTATAACTCTAACATCTTTATTTTAGAAAGAGAAAAAGATCATAGTTCTTCTCGTCCAAGCAGTCCTCGTCCTCAGAAGGCATCCCCGAATGGTTCCATTAGCAGTGCTGGGCATGGCAGCAGAAACAGTAGTCAGTCAAGTTCAGATGGCAGCTGTAAGACTTCTGGAGAGATGGTGTTTGTATATGAAAATGCTAAAGAAGGAGCACGGAATGTAAGAACGTCGGAACGAGTAACACTAATAGTGGATAATACTAGATTTGTTGTAGACCCATCCATTTTTACTGCACAGCCAAATACAATGTTGGGCAGGTTTGTATTATACTGTTCTTTTTTTTTTTTTTTTAATACTAGTGCTTATATATCTCTTTCATGGCCATTATTTTTACTTTTCATTTAATTTTTATAGTAACTGAAATGTAGTATAGCTGTTGTTCATATTGAAATAGTGAGTTTTTGAGGTTGACTCACTTGTCCAGGTTAATATAGCTAGAACATGGTAGAGTGAAAGCTTGAGTTTGGTTTTAGAAGGAGTAGTAAATGTGTTACTGAAGTCAGGATACTATTAAGGATCTCTACATATTGAGACCAAATATTTAAATACTTGGATTTAGTAGTGGTATATTTCCTACACTTGAATTTCCTAGCTCAAATGCCAAATAAAGCACGGATTGGTTTATTTAAAGAATAAAAGAAAACAGGTGGTTGGCTAGAAAGTTAGGATGAAGTATATATTTGATGTAGGTGCTTTTCAAGACAGATTTAATATTTTATTTGAAAGACTTAGAGGCAGAGATCTTTTATCCTTTGGTTTACTCCCCAAGCTCACACAATGGCTAGAACTGAGCCGGGCCCCAAACTGAGAGCTTTTTGCGGGTCTTCCGCTTGCGTGCAGGGACCCAAGCATTTGGGCCATATTCTGCTTTCTCAGGCACATAAGCAGGCAGTTAGAGTTGAGCATTTCAGACTTGAGCCACTGCCCATATGGGATGCCTGCGCTGCAAAAGCTGCTTAGGATCCAGCACCTGCTATTTTTAAATAATTCTTTGTTCACAGGAAAATGAAGGTAAAAATAAATAGAATCTTACATGCAGTGAACATTTATGTCTTTATATATTTTGTGTGAGAGAGAGGCAGAGGAGACAAAGAGGGAGACAGAAGGTGAGAGAAGGGGATAGGGTGAGATTAGAGAATAAATGCTGGAGTATGCTCATCCTATGTGCGTTTTGAGTTGCTCCTAATATTGATAGACTTTATAGTCAGGAAAACAATACTTGTAGTATAAATAGGCTTTTATGCATTATCAGTATTTTAGGAGGTTATTGTTTGAAACTGTTAGGAAAATAAGTGACAGTTTCGAGTTTCACAAATGAATTACAAATCATTTTGTGTTTTTGCAGATATGTTTTCAAGTTAAAATGATTAAAATGATTTATCCACTCACTAAAAAAAAGTGACAGTTTCAATACTTTGTATTTTTATGTATAATTTTTTTTAAATTGCCTCATCTGTTAGGCTATCTTTTTAAAAAGATTTTGTTTTTTAAGTATTCATTCATCTGAAGAATAGCTTTTCCCTTTTGTAAAATGTTCGAGTATTTGAGAAAATGGCATGACACTTGATTCTTGAAAGACTCTTAAAATCAGTGAAGACTTCTTTTCATTCCATTTTGAACCAACTTGTTTTGGGGGATGAAAATTAATATTCATGGAAACTATAAAAATCAGATGACATTCTTTTGGAAGCTTTGAAATGAAAAAAAAAAAAAAAACCTTGTTCTTCCTAGGTTTCTGTGTTTCAGCAAAAGGAAAACATTTAAATTAGGAAACTTGAATACTTCCAACCTGCATTTACTTTGGAAATAGTGGTGCTGTGGAATTCCGTGGTTCAACTTCATTTAATCATGATTTTTAACTTTTGTGAGAGTACTCCTTAAATTTTATTGACAAAGACCTCCTTTCTAAATACTCCCACAGGACCAGCAACATGACTTATATAAATCCATTAGTATTCTTCTTATGTAAAAATTAAGAGTTTTTTAACCAATTAACTTAATTTTTGATTTTCGCTTCTCTAATCTATTCTAACAAATGATTGCTTGTTTTTCAGTTCCAGAATTAAAATATGAGACTTTTGAACATGATTTTCATTTACATTAAATATCATTAGATATCCTGATTTGCCTATATGATCTTCATTTTTTCTAGTTTAACTTCCTGTATGTGCTTCATTACAACTTTATAATTAAAATAGCACTTTTAAAGCAGAGACACAGATAACATGGCCCCTCCCTTTTTTTACTTTTCAAAGTATAATCATTCTTCCTCTAGAATGATTTATATATTTTTTTATTTTTTAACTTCAAGGAGAAGGAGGTTGGCTTCTAAATTTTTTTTTTTTTTTGGTTTTGACAACCAAAGTAATTTTTTTCCATTTTAAAAAATTATTTTCTCCAACACGTTTGTAGGTATAGGGGTTTGCCCTTCTTGCTTTCTTTTCTCCCTTCCTGTTTCCTCATGTTATCCAGTAGTGTAGTCCCTTAGTAACAGTTACACATTCAGCTTCCTGCCATTAGCATTTAAACGTAACATGACATTGTAGATACATGCAAGGGCAGAAAATCTAGAAAATCACTTTGATTTTACTATTGCTCTTGAGGAGTCTGTTCCTTCCCATCAAAAGACTGTTTTAACACGCCTTCATTTATAATGCTTGCCAGAATAATTTTCTTTTGTTTCAAATAGTTGATTATTTTTATTTGAAAGGCAAAGTTACAGAGAGGAGAAATAGGTTTGCCATCATCTTCTGATTCACTACCAAAAGGCTATAACCACAGCTGCCTGGTCTCCCAGGTGGGTGTCGGGATTCAAGCACTTGGGCCATTATCTACTGCTGCTTTCCCGTGCCATTAACGGGGAACTGGATGGGAAGTGGCCTAACTGGTACTTGAAGCACCATAAGTATGGGATGCTGCTGCTACAGTTAGAGGCTTAACTGGGTGTGCCACGGCACCAGCCCCCAAGAATAAATTTCTGATAGAAAAATCTCAAATGAATTTTATGAGGTTATTTAAAGCTTAAGTTAGAATTCCTTTCACTCTTTTTTATAAGGTTGACCTTTCTTTTTGAAGGAATAATTTTTATTAATTTCTTAATTCTTTGCTATCATAGGATGTTTGGATCTGGCCGAGAACATAACTTTACACGTCCCAATGAGAAGGGAGAGTATGAAGTAGCAGAGGGAATTGGTTCTACTGTGTTTCGAGCTATTCTGGTGAGTCTTGCATATATTTGTTAATCATAAAACCCCTTCCTGGTAGGTACTTGGATTAGAAGCATCTGTTTGAATATCTCTTTGGAAGTATGCAAGATAATTTCCTTTATATTTGTTATTTTTTAAAGCTTTATTTTTATTGGAAAGGCAGAGTTAGAGACAGAGAGAGATCTTCTATCTGCTAGTGCACTCCCCAAATGGCCACAGTGGCTGGAGTTGGACTGTGTTAAAGTCAGGGACCAGGAGTTCCTTCGAGGTCTCCCAGGTTAGTGCAGGGGCCGAAGGACTTGGCCAACTTCTGCTGCTTTCCCTGGCCATAAGTAGGGAAATGATCAAAAGTAGAATGTCTGGGACTTGGACTTGAACTAGCACCTAAATGGGATATCAGCACTGCAGGCGGGGGCATAGCTTGGAGTGCCACTGTGCTGACCCCTATTTTCCTTTAAATGCCACTTTATTTTTCCCTTAGTGCATAAAGATAATATGATATAAACAAGTACATTTCATGACCTTTAGGAAAAATGATACGAAAATTCATTTCTTTCAAATATTTTTGTAGTAACATATAATTTCTAGATTTATATGACTTCTTTTTTTGTCCTTGTAAGTATGGCGTATAAATCATTGCTGCTACCTGAGAATGAATGTGGCTACTTGGATTTTATTTCCCCTAACTAACCATGTGGAAATGTATTAATATTTTCATACAGTCATCTCCAAAATATATTTATTAACATCTTTGTTTCAGACTTTGAGTTTTTAACCTTTTGCTACAAGGAATATTTCAGTTAGTATCTCATTGTCCTGATTTATAATTTGATATATATTTATAGGGATAAAGATTTGGTTTTTGGTGTGATACTTGTGTCACATTCAGGAAATACACGTTTTCCTTAAATAGTTTGGAGGAGATGAAAAAAGCAGTATCTTGAGATAAGTGGGAAAGCAGTTCGTTGGTGATCAAGTTGTTAGTACTCGGACAAATGTCAAAACTTGTTTTGCTTCCGTTGGTACAGTGACTTTAGAGACAGCCTAGACTGTTTCGGCACCTCAGGGAGCGTGAGACAGGGCTTCGTTCTGTGGCATGTTCAACTGCCCGTGCTGCAGTGGGATCCGCTGGGGAGTTGATGATGTTTGTACCTCAGCTGTAGAGTGTCTATTTGTAATTCTCGGGCCCGTTTCTATCACGTTTTAAAATAGTTTTTGAAATAATTAGTATTGACTGCTAATAATAATATGAGAACAACAAAGGCTGTTGCTTAGAGTAAGTAGTGGTGCTTCGTGTTTGGTAATACTTGCATTTAACTGTGATTGTTTCTAATTGCAGTTTTTTTTTTAAATCTTAAATTTGTAAAGGCTAAATTCATTAGGCAATATTTAAGTAACTCACATTACATCAGTTTCTTTAAAAATTTTTATTTTTATGGTAATGGTTAGAAAATGACTTGTTCGGAGGATGATACATCAATAGTGTGATGTAGCAAAGATGAGATGGATATACAGGGAAACGTGTTCTCTTTTATCTGCTCTTAAATTGTGTAATTGGTTAAATTAGTGAATCTGTCTGTGACTGAATTATTCTGATATGTAAAATGAAGGAGTTCTTAGGTAAACAGAATCCACCTAACAATATTCTGAAATGTTAAAGCTCAACTGTGTTTAAAGGTATTATAAACCTAACCTTAACAAGTTTTAGCTACCTTTGTTCAAGATATTTTATGCATTTTTTACTTTTGTTTGTTCATTAGGATTACTATAAAACAGGAATAATCCGTTGTCCTGATGGAATATCCATTCCTGAACTGAGAGAAGCATGCGATTATCTTTGTATCTCTTTTGAATATAGTACTATTAAGTGTAGAGATCTCAGTAAGTATTACGTTTTTTTATGTGAGTGGTTTGTGAAGTTATATATTTGTAATGGTCTGAACTAGTGTTGTTTATCTGGTTAGATTTTGAATATTTAGTTGAATTATAAGGTATTCTATTACCATGAAAATTATTTATGGAAATACACAAAGTTCATGGTATCTATGCAGTTTCTGAAAGTCTTCCTGTGTGTGAACTGTTAAGACTTTTTCCTTGACTTTCCTTTATCACTTATTATCAGTCTTGAATCTCTACATGTAAGAGCCTGGCTTTTGTGCAAATATTTCATTAGATCACAGCATCCATAAAATTCTTTTTTTAAAAAGATTTATTTGTTTTATTGGAAAGGCAGATGTACAGAGGGAAGGAGATAAAGAGAAAAGGGTCTTCAATTCACAGGTTCACTCCCCAAGCGGCTGTAATGGCTGGAGCCAAGCTGATCTGAAGCCAGGAGCAAGAAATTCCTTCTGGGTCTCCCACGCAGGTGCTGGGTTCCAAGGCTTTGGGCTACCCTCTACTGCTTCTGAGGGCACAAGCATGGTGCTAGATGGGAAGTGGAGCAGCTGGGATCCTGGTGAATGCAAGGCGAGGATTGTAGCCACTAGGCTTCTGCACCGGGCCTCCCATCCAAAAATTTGTAATGTTTTTCTCTCATCGCTTCTCTTACTCCTGACTACTATGGTATCCCTGGAGAAAGAGGTGATTATACACAAAAAAGTCAAGATAGTGTATCTGAAGTATCACGTATTAAGTGATTGTATACATTCATAGGAAAGGGGAGGTCATTGTGGGCCAGAAGGACTGGGGAAGAGGTCAGAGGAAACAGGTAGTAAAGAATGAATAGAGGGCCCAGTACAATAGCCTCGTGGCTAAGTCCTCACCTTGCAACCCTCAGGATCCCATATGAGTGTGGGTTCATGTCCTGGCTGCTCCACTTCTCTTCCAGCTCTTTGCCTGTGGCCTGGGAAAGCAGTTGAGGATGGCACAAAGCATCGGGACCCTGTACCCACATGGGAAACCCAGAACAAGCTCCAGGCTCTAGTCTTCAGATTGACTTGGTTCCGGCCATTGCAGCCACTTGGGGAGTGGATCAGCGGACAGAAGATTTTTGTCTCTTCTACTCTCTCTAAATCTGTCTTCCCAATAGAAATAAATAAATCTTTATTTTAAAAATTTGTTAAAAAAAAGAATGAATAGAAATTATTTGGAAAGGGTAGGGAGGTTACGCTAAGGGTTTGGGTTTTTGGAGAAAGGATACAATAGCTATGCTTTGGAACTAGCTTAGAGCCAAAACTTTACATCAGAATTATAAGGAGATAGGGAATAAATAGGTGGGCTGAATAAGGAAGATTTTTAATATGAAACTATTGTTTCTTCATTTTAATCAATTGCAGTGGAGAACAACCTTTAGAAAAATTCCATATATAATTTATAGCCTTATGCTAACCCGATACGTATGGTTATATTTATTACCTATCTTGTAAAAGGTATTGTACTTTCTCAGAGATTGCTATATTGTAAACTCTGTGAAGGAGAAGTTTTTATGGCACTTACTGTATGTATAAATATGACCAGCCTTTTTCATGATCAAGTTTGCCCTTAAGATATCTAAATCATTTACCACAAGTCCCCATAAAAATGGATGGTTGCTCTTGGACGTCATTTTTATATAAATGTTACTTAAAAGTTCAAATAGTTGGACATAGCTGGAACATGGAAGTATAAATATAAACAGTTATTCTTTTTTTAACCTCTCAAAAAATTACTTTACTGAAAACCATGAGCATTGTAAGTCTACATTGTGTGTGTGTTTTTAATATCATACAATTGGATGTTTCCTTTAGTGACTCAGATTGAAAAAAACAGTAGAATTTTGTACAGATGATAAAAAGTTTAGTTTTGCAGTTTGGACATTGGTTGCTCTATCGTCACTGTTAAATATCTTTTATTTGTTATGGAATTGAAAGTAAGAATCTTTATGTAAAATATATGTAATAGGGCCTGGTAAATGGCCTAGTGGCTGTGTCCCTCGCCTTGTGTAAGCCAGGATCCCAAGTGGGTACCAATTAGTGCTGTGGCTGCTCCAATTTCTGTCTTGCTTCCTGCTTGTGGCCTGAGAAAGCAGTGGAGGACGGCTCAAAGCCTTGGGATCCTATTCCCATGTGGGAGATCCTGAGGGGGTTCCTTGCTCCTGGCTTTTGATCTGCTTAGCGCTGGCTGTTGTAGCCCCTCAGGGAGTGAGCCAGCAGGTCTTTCTCTCTGACTCTCCTTCTTGCTGTATAGATATCTGTCTTTCCAATAAAAATAAGTGAATCTTTAAAATATGTATATGTAGGGCCCGGAGGCGTGGCCTGGCGGCTAAAGTCCTCACCTTCAATGCCCCGGGATCCCATATGGGCGCTGGTTCTAATCCCGGCAGCTCCACTTCCATCCAGCTCCCTGCTTGTGGCCTGGGAAGGCAATCGAGGACAGCCCAAAGCCTTGGGACCCTGCACCCATGTGTGGGAGACCCGGAAGAAGTTCCTGGATCCTGGCTTCAGATTGGCATAGCATCGGCCATTGCGCTTACTTGGGGAGTGAATCATTGATTGGAAGATCTGTCTCTCCTCCTCTCTGTATATCTGACTTTCCAAAAAAATAAATCTTAAAAAAAATATGTATATGTAATTTTCCTAGACTTTTGGCTTTTAAATATACTAGAATTTTAGTAATATGTTTGTAACATCTATTACAAAGAATTTAAAGACTTTATTAAGAAAAAACTATAGACTTTATTCATATAAAATATGTATGATTTTGATATTGTCTGCATAGTTGAGAGGGATGCAAATCCATGTGGGCTTCCTATTAGGGTGAGAAGGGTAGAGGACAAATGTTTCAGTTCAATTTTGTTTTCCTCTTTTCTCCACAGAGGGAAAGGGGAGGGGGCTGCCCTTTGTTGTCGACTACATCAGCATTCAGGGTCAAGGGAGACAGTCATTCATTGATGCCTTATGAGATTCCTACGTGGGAAAGAATGTTCTCAGGGTGTTACTTGAATGGTTTTGATAGTCCTGAGATGTTGTCATCTTCATTGCACCAGAGCTAATAAAACCTTTCCAAGGTCTGTTGGCTGACCGAGCCCACCTTAGTGCATTCACAGGTTGAGATGCTTGCTGCAAAGCTTGGCCAGGAGAGTTGTCCAACCTATTCTGCTTTCCATCCTCTGATGAGACACTTGATATTCTCTACTGGCCTGGGTGAGCTGGCCGTCTTGTTCCCTGTGTGCATCTGGGCACACTGTCCACTACAAAAGCATCAGCAACTTATGATGCCTAGGCCTATATGCACTCCAAGGTCACACTGTCTATCTGTGATCTTCTCTGTGGCTAGGGTTTCAGTCCAGCAATGTAAAAACTATAGAATTTGAAAAGATAGCAGTCATCATATAAAAATGTAAGATTAGTACAGGTGTAAACTTGTATCCAAAACAAAAATTTCTATGGAAATATGAGTTTTTACTAAATATTTGGAATGACCTTGCCCTAAATATCTAGTTTGTCTTTTAGAAGAAATCATCTTAGTATCAAATGTTCATTGAATAGAGAGACTTGGATTTCTTAAATAAGTTATTAAAATCCTGCTGAACATAACTCAAGTCCTGATACCCTGCCACTCGTGGGAGATTTGAATGGAGTTCGAGGCTTCTAGCTTCAGCCTAGTGCAGCCCCAACCTTTTATAACCATTTCTGGAGTGAACCAGCAGATGAAAAATCTCTCATCTAACTAACTCCTAAGTACTAACTGTTCATTTCTAGTTTACTATTTGACTTGTCATTTCTTTTCCCCCCATTCTTGATCAAGTTTTTAATGTTCTCTGTAAATGGACATATAGAAGGCAACAAGGCAGGCATTGTCCTAACCTTTATGGTGTCCAGTGGAGAAAACAAACACTTGATAAGTAATACAAGTTTTGAAAAACATACTAGGAAAATTAGATGCTCTGAGAAGTATATAAAGAAGTGGCAATGGTGAATCATTATCTAAGTTTGTGAGAGTCAAGTGGAAGCCTGAAGGAATAGTAACAAGTCAGGGAAAGCTGACTGAATGAGGCAGCTAAGATGGTGGTTGCAGAGGCTGTCAGTAAGGAGTAACATGACGTGAAGAACTGAAAAAGGAGCAGTGTGGCTGAGCGATGGAGTCTGTCTAGGAAGGAATAAGGAAATGTAGAGGTGAGGAAGAAACGTACCACGTATTTAATGATGATTCATTCTCTACTGAGTACTGTTCTAAGTTCTTGGGATGTAGTATGAATTAAATAGAGGAAACAATATTGTATTGCAGTTCATTTTCTATTGAAGACCAGTGTCTTCAATAACATGTAGTGTCTTGTAGCAACAGATGCTAAGAGGCGAGGTTAGTGAAGAAGGGTCTTGTAGTAGCTATGGAGATTCTGTTGGAGAAAAAACATGCCTGGTGTGTTTGAGAGCAGCAAAGAGGCCAGTGTAGTTGGTGTAGAGTGGGTTGAGAATGTTAGTTCTTGATGAGAAGAGGTAACAAAGAACTAGGTCAGGTATTTCCTTGATTTTGTTGACTTGTAAATCTGAGGAAGAAATTATTGAATGGCTTTGAACAGATAAGTAAATTGGTTTGTAAGGTTGCCACATTGTACCAGTTCATGGGCTACTATTTTTTTTTTTTTTTTTACAAAATTCAATGTAGAGTTGTTCATTGCTGTAATCCTTATATGACCCGTAGTTTAAAAGTATCACACTTGACTGTTGTGTTAGAGATGAACTGAGAACTGAGGTAGAATATTGCCATTGAAATATGAGTAAACAAAAGCATTCCATTCATGCAGGTGAGTTTGAGTACTCAGGGAGCGAGGTTGTTCATTTGAGTGAGTGAAGTCCATCACCCTTCTTACTTCTGTGGTTAAGTCATCTGTGGCTTGACCTTTGTCTGCCTTATTCCTGTTGATCCTTTTCATCTCACCCTTTCTGCTACACTGAAATATTAATGCTGTTTGTGAATAGTTATCTGAGAAGGAGAATGTGTGGGAATGGAATACTGGAGCTATTTCAGTTATTTAACTAATTACATAACTGTCTTTAAGATATACTTTAAGTCATGACATAATTGCATATTTTGATGAGAGATAACATGATATACTGAAAAGTACCTTACACTGGAATGAGGTTTCAATTTTGATTTTGTGAATTAGTTTTGCAACCTTGAAGAAATGACTTCATGATATGTAAATGAGAGGGCTTATGTTGAGTGTGTTTAAATCAACCCTTCTCTGTGATATTTGATGATTTTTTTTTTAAGAACTCAGTTTTGGTGACCAAAGAATAATCGATGTGTTGTCTGCAAGGTCCTAAAATAAATGGTGAACTAATCTGGTATTTGTGTTCTTTTTCTTATCAATTATCAAAAAAAAAGAGATTTTTGTGGGTTTTATTTCAGGTGCCCTAATGCATGAGTTATCTAATGATGGTGCTCGTAGACAATTTGAATTTTATCTGGAAGAAATGATCCTCCCTCTCATGGTAGCAAGTGCCCAGAGTGGTGAACGGGAATGCCATATAGTGGTGCTTACGGATGATGATGTGGTTGATTGGGACGAAGAGTATCCACCACAGATGGGAGAGGAATATTCGCAAAGTAAGTGTGGTGGCATGTTTCCTTTTCAGATTTATCACAGATTGTTCATCTTTTATAATATTAATCAAGGAATAGATTTTATTAAAAATAAACTATGTTGAACTCCTACCATGCTCCAGGGATAGGCAAACTATAGTGCGAGGGTCAAATCCAGCCTGCCGCCTGTTCTTATACGTACACTTTGATGTATTGCCTATGGCTGCTTTCCTGCTGTCATGGCAGAATAGTTGCAACAGAGACTGCATGGCTCGCCAAGGCCGAAACATTTACTGTCTGACCCTGTACAGAAAAAGTGTTCCCACCCCAGCATACACCAGCTGTTTGCTCTTTGTTGGCTGACTGAGGGGTAACTAGAAAAGATGCTCCTTTGTAATACCATATGTCTTCCTGGAAGACCTGATGGTTTGAAGAAACTTTTGTGGAATGATAGCTTTTAGGTATTTCTGAAGAAAACAGCATATTTTGAGCAGCAGCAACTAACTTTTTCCTTATTCTGCTTCCAGACTTTTGTGATTGGTTTCTAAATTTGTTAGAAAATCCTATGTTTTTTTCCTGATAAAACCAGTATTAGTATTTTTGAGTAGCTTCATAGAAAGATGGAGAAGAGTTGAAAGAATGACTCAAAGAACTGAGTACAATGGCCACTTTCCTGTTCTATACTCCAGTCTTGGCTTGGTAAGGATTAGGGTTTATGTAAATAGTGCAGTAATAAAGTACCAAAAGCCTTTTCTGATTTAGAAAATTTTATATATCCTATTAAAAAATAAGGTAAAAAAGAGCAGAGTACAAACGGCATTCTTTCTGTATTTTAAAAAAGTATTTCAAAAGATTAATATCAGTTATGATAACATTTTTCAGAGTTTGGATATTTTCTTTACATGACATGTAAAGAAGTGTTGTGACATTTTTTGGATAGTTCAGTAATAGGCATTTCTGTTCCAGTTTCCTCATTCATTCCTAAATTCCTGTTGACAGTGGTTTTCTGTAATAGTGTGTGAAATTAAAAAAAAAAATAGAACAAAACAGGAAAAATGAAAGCTTACTAAAGATTAAAAAGTATACTAATTTCATTTTTATGAAAGTCTAATATTTATATTTTAATTTTTAAAAGCTTTAAAGCTAAGAGAATAATCAAAAGTAGAACAGAGCGATGACTTTGTAACAATAAAGGAATTATAGTGGATCTACCTCTTTTCTATTCTTGCAGTTTCTATCCCAACTTTTTTTTTTGTTTTCTTGTGTATGTATGTTTCAATCAATCTAAAGCTTTAAAGCTTAAAAGGACTGAAAAATGACATTGCTTAATTTGTTTGAATATGTTTTATTTTGTGCCAAGTTGGTTCCAACCTAAGGAGGATTCATTTGAGGAGCTGGAAATAGTCTTTTCAGCCTGGTTGTCCTAGATGTGACTTTATAACTTTATTCTTCGTGAAATGTGAAAAACTATTTACTTAAAATGTCAGTAATCTAAAGATTGAGTAATCACAGGTTTACTCCATGAATTAGAACTTGTATATGTATTTTCCTTTTATTGGTTCTTAAACCAGCATATTTGGTTTGTGAGTGTGTTTTTCTTCTTTCAAAAAAACCTTTGCAGTTCACCTTTTAAGGGAGATAACTTCACCTGAAAGAGAGAAGGCGAGGAAGGTCCATCATTCTAACTCCCCGAAGTTCCCAGCACATTTGGAAGACTCAACCTGTTGTCAGTGGAATGTCTGTCTTTGCAAAGCCAGTTTGCTCTAAACAGACTAACCTAGGCAAAACATGCTCGAGTCTGCCATTGTTAACATCATTATTAAATGGGGCTGTTCGCCTGAATGGAAAACAGTTTGTGGGTGGCTCTTTGGCTTTGGGGGATTATTAAAAGTGCTCAATCCATGACCTACAAAATGTATCTGTTTTGTGTTCTTTGACAAGGCAGGGTCTTCCTCCTCTGTCCACTCTAGACCTTATAGACATCTTAGCAAAGTCTTTTACTTTGCCTGCTCAATAATGATATAATACTGGGTATATGTATTTTTAAGTTGTCTTACTGGAAACTTGGGGCAGATACCATTACCATATGTGTGTGACTTATCCTTTCAGAAGGAGATTCTTCCTATGGATTGGGTTACCTGATTTGATTTTCAAAGCTTTTCTCATTTCCACTTAAGTAGATATTTGCTTTTACATTAACTGCACTGAATATTGTCCTGTCGCGTTGGCTCGTCATTCCTTGGCTTCACTGCATCCATCATTTGGGCTGTTAGGGCTATCAGGTCCCTTTGATAATCAAATTAAATGTCAGTTCATCTCTGAGTACTTTGATTTTGAAACACTTTTGTCTTTTTTTCCCCCAGTTATTTATAGCACAAAATTATATAGATTTTTCAAGTACATTGAAAACAGAGATGTGGCCAAATCAGTGTTGAAGGAGCGAGGTCTTAAGAAGATTAGACTGGGAATAGAAGGTAAGGAATTTTCATTATTTTCTATTAATTTGTCTTTGAAAAAAGCAAGGTTAATAGTTGTATCCAATTCAAAATATAATTTGAGTATTTTGAGCAGAATTCTGACAAATGATTGATGAATGTGCAGAAGACAGAAGTAGATAACAGAAATCAGCTGTGTTCGTCTCGGAAGTCAGAAGGCCATTAGGAATTATTTCATGAGAGTTCCTAGTGAAATGGAGAAATGCATTTGTCCTTACTGCTGTGACTCCCCCTAATTTTTTTCGGTAAAGTTCCTGTATTTATGTGTGCCTGTGTGTACTTTCCTATAGAACTGGCAGTGCTCTTTGCCTCGTGATGCTTATTGAAGCCCAACAGAATGAAAACTACGTATCAAAAAATTCACGCAGAGGCAGTACTGTTAGCATACTAGAGTCTTAAGTATAATATCTGGTGTCCTAAGGTGTAATAGTATATCTTCAAGTTAAATGCAAATTGAAAACTTTGTTTCGTCTTACTTAAATGCAGACATATTTCAGATAGCTTTTTACTTTATGATTTCAGTGAATTTTTCCATATGTTTTGCCAGATGCTGGTGTTGTTTTAAAATACCTCTACTAAGAACAAAATGCCTTTTTTGGTGTGTCTAACATGCATCTGGTTTAGAGTAAAATCTCTGCAGCACGATTGCTTACGTTCAGATCCTGACTTCACAACTGTGACCTTGGCCAAAGCAGTTAGAATCTGCACCTGAATTTTTTCATCTATATGGCAACATTAGTATTTTGATAAGCTTATTGTAAGGCTAGAATGAGCCATATACAAAAACCAAACACAATAGTACTTGGCAACTGTTACGTTCTCAGTATATGTTTGTGGGAATAGTAATGAAGACAATAGGGTTGATTAATGACCTAGATGACCCACTGGAGATCAAAATAATGGGCAACTGAGATATATGGCAAGAATAACTGCAAGCACAGTATTGGGGCTTCAAAAACAGGAGATGTACTGATGCCTTAGCTTCACCACTGAGTGTTTTGGTTCATCAACTTGGCTGCTTTGAGAACTATAGAGGAGGCAGTTGGAGCTACTATAGAAAGAAAAAGAAGGTCTTTCTGAGGAGGAGACATTTGATCTTAAGTCTGATGATTGACAAGATAGAACTGATAGGTAAGTTGATAGGAGAAGTAGGTTCAGAAGATGCAGGGTCTCACAGAGCATGGTGAGGAATGTACTGGCCGTGTGTCTTAAGGTAAATCCCCCATCCCCTCGGAGCATTGGTTGCTTTATGTGGATAGTTGGTATAATCTAAATGTCAGGGAGGATGGTTGTGATAATCAAATGACACATGCTAGAAATTACCTCCTTCCAACCCTACTTTTGAGTGTTAGGTAGGTGGGTAGGGAGATACTGCTAATTGTCCTTCAAATCCTTTGAAACTTTCCTGGAACCTTGATGACATTGCTGCCCAAACAACCTTTGAGAGAAGTCAGGTTATATATTGCGTACTTAACAAATGGTCTAGTTACTAGCATATAGGGGATTTGTGTGTGTAGGTATGGAACATTGCAAATAAATGATTTTTATAAAAACTACTTCTAAGTAACTGCAAATAAGGACTTTTTTCTATCACAGGAAATCACCACTGTAAAGAACATATTAATTTTCATATAGTCATAAGGACCTAATGATAAGTATTATTTATCTTATTTAAAGGATCATTTCACCCAACAGAATTAAGGATAATCCCTTAATGGCAATCATTACAATTTCCCAGTAGTCCCCCAAATGTCTATTTTTAAAGATTTATTATTGGTACTCGTGTCATAGTGTAGTAGGCTAAGCTTCTGCCTATCGTGCCAGATCCCATGTTGTCAGCAGTTTGAGTCCTGCTATTCCAGTTATGATCCAGCTTCCTGCTTATGGCCTGGGAAAGCAATGGAGGCTGGCTCAAGTCCTGAAGTCCCTGCATCCAACTGGGAGACCTGTTAGAAACTCTTGGTTCCTGATCGACTCAGCCCTGGCCATTGCAGCCATTTTGGGAATGAAACAGCCAGCAGGTGAAAGATCTGTCTTGCTTCCTCAATCTTTTTGAAAGGTACAGTTACAGAGATAGTTAATACCCCAAGCAGCTGCAGTGGCCAGGGCTGAGCCTCTAATAGACAGGTGGGTGAGTTTGCGTACTGCATCAATGACGGCATGTCCCTTTAATATTTCAGGAGTGTTGAGATTCAAACATCATGGCGATCTGAGAATACAACTACTGGGTCTGCTGTTTGTTTCCAGTGGAACTTCAGCATTTCTTCCTCTTACAAAGAGAAAGAATTCCAAATCACTAAATGGCCTTATTTGATAAGGGAAAGCTCTAATTACTGAAGAAAATGAGCTAATAAATGTAAAAGGAATGACAATTAGAAAATAAAATTACTGAATCAGGAAAGATCTATCAATACCTTAAAACCTTTAGATAACATTTAATGGGGAACTAAACATTTTTATAGTGTTAAAATGATATCCTGCAAAGGGATTGCTTAATCTAATTCAGAGGGAATTGGTCTTTATCCACTTATTAGAGATCTGAATTAAGCCTTTAATCAAACTTGGAATTCTATTAGAGTTTTGAGGGAGTTTGGGAGTGCAGGGGTTTGCTGTTGCCTTTTTGCTAACATTAGGAACCATCTCATGAGTTCATTGGGGGATTGTCTTTTTTTCAAAGACTTTGAAGAGAGCCAGGAATTTAAGTTTAGCTCATTAAAATCTCATTCTTTCTCTGAATTCTTGAAACTCCACCACTGTGCTTAATTTGCTGTTTGGGATGTTCTTTTATGGACAAATTCATGACCTCCAGTGGACCATAAAAGCCTTTAAGGCACCAGCTTGATGTTACAAATCTTTGATGTGATAGTTGAGTTACTTGCTGAGTAAATAAACTGATAAATCTGCAGTCCAGACACACACTTGATTTTTAAAGGAATAAAATGTCCTCAGTAAGATTGACTATCTAGGAAGAGGTTGTCATTTGCAGTTGTTGCATCCTGATAGTCGATTTAGTTTGCCCCCCGTGTTTAGCAGTTGCAGTGTTTAGGTGCTGTGTAGGTACCAGCAGACAGGAATAGAGACACCACTTTGCCATACAGGAATTCACTGCTTAGGTGAGAGAGACACGGACAAAAAAGTAACCACAATTTAATACTGTAGATATTGTTACGATGTACTATGAAACACAGGGAACAAACTATTTACTCTATGTGGAATCTTAACATAAAATATTAAGAGGTTGGAGCCATAGAGATGAAAGGACTGAGAGATAGCAAGCCACAGAAAGACAGTGTGTATGAATATATAAGTTCTATTCAGGGAAAAGTGAAAGTTTAATGTGGTCCACATATTTGAGAGTTGTAGGGTTAGAGGGAAATGTAGCAGGACATAAGACATTAAATAAATTGAAATTAGAACTTCCCTTAAAGGGGAAACCATTGACAGTTTTCAAGCAGTGTGATTGCAGTTGTCTAGGGTGGCGATTCTGTGTGGAGGACAAATTGGGAAATATAATGAATAAGATGGAAATTTTAAAGACTTTAAATTGTCCAGCAGGAATCGAGGATAAGACATTAGACACACAGACCTTTCTGATCTCTGCCCTCAATGCAGATGGTAATCGACCAAAATGTGAAAACACAGAGATCTTTACAAGAACTTTTAGCCTTATGTATTATCCACACTCTATATGTGGCTAAATCTATGACTATCAGTGATAACACATACATCATTAACCAAACCCTTACTGTGTGAGGCCTTCTGTCTGCGCCGCCCCCCCCCCCCGCCCTTAGTAATTATGATTCAACTTTGGTGCATGGGGCATATCCACATTATTGTTTTTAAATAAAGCTTTCCTGGAACATGATCTTTTAAAGAAAAAAGCTATGAAAAGTAGTTACAGGAGAGAGTGAAATAGTGGAGAGAGAGAAAAGGAGAGAAAATCTCCCATCCACTGAATCACTTCCAAGATGGTTGCAGCCAGCCAGTGTCAGGAACCAGGAGCTCTAGCTGGATTTCCCACATGGCTGTTACTTTTCAGTGATTTCAAGATGCAATAGGAGAATGCTTAATTAATCAGGGAGAAATGCTTTGGTTGTTGGTGAAATAATAATATTAGAGCAATATAGGTTAACATATTAACCTTGTTTACCCAGGTACAGAATTATTTGAAACTAGCTGGGTAGCTTGAACATTTAACACACAAAAAGAGTAATATAAAAATGAGATTTATTCTTAAGGAAATGAGAAAGCTAATGTGCTCAGCATGTATGCTAGGTAATTCTGTATAGAGAATGGCAAAGGGATATTAAGGATACACAGCTGCACTGTAAGTTCTGCGGATCATATACCCATTCCAATCATGCATCCATTTTTTAAGTATGTTTTTGGTGTTTGGCCTATTGAGTGAATGAGAAAATGGTAGGTTTTGTGAATGGCAGCAATAAGATTTTCTTGAACTCATGACAAAGTGGATGGAAACCTGGTTTCTTTGTTTTCATTTTTGATTCTCAGGATCTGCAACAGAAAAACTTTTAAAAGCTAAAATGTGTTTTAAAATCCTTTCTTTTCTCAGGTTATCCTACCTACAAAGAGAAAGTAAAAAAAAGGCCTGGGGGTCGCCCAGAAGTGATTTACAACTATGTCCAAAGACCCTTTATCCGAATGTCATGGGAGAAGGAAGAGGGAAAGAGTCGGCATGTAGACTTTCAGTGTGTGAAGAGCAAATCTATCACCAACCTTGCAGCAGCTGCCGCAGACATTCCCCAGGACCAGCTGGTGGTCATGCACCCAACTCCTCAGGTGGATGAGCTGGACAGTCTCCCGATCCATCCCCCATCTGGCAACAATGACCTCGATCCTGACGCACAGAATCCAATGCTGTGATGCTGATGTCCCATGAAACCATAGCATGCTACTCTTCACAGTGACGTTGTACGCTCCTCATTCTGCACTGCAGGGCCACTCTTCTTCATTGTAAGATGCACATAACATTTAGCATATTGCAGTGTAGGCTTTTTGAAAGACCAAAGGTAGCTGAATGGTTTTTTAAATGAGTACAACTCTAGCATCCTGAGGTTCCAGTTATATAAATGTTTTGTTTACTGGTAGGTTTGTGAAATTGGTTCTTTGTATGGGGACAGTCCTTTTTCACACATCCAGGTCTTCTCAGAAGTGGTCAGAAATGGCAGCTGGTACTTTCTGTCTTTTTAGATTGGTATTTGTTATACTCCAGAAAAAAGGCAGAAAATTATAGTTGCACTTTATACATGGTGGTCAAATGGAAGTGTTAAAGCCATTTTATAGTTGTGATGCACAATATAACTTAAATAAGTGCTTCTATCAAAGTATTCCTTCAGTAAAATGTGTATAGTTTGCTGCCCATGATAAGCAAAAAACGACTATTTATCTTGGGCCTATCTGGGTGATTAGGAGGAGCGTGGTGCCCACGTCTGATCAGTTCACCATCTCCAGTGCCATTTCACCCTTTTAGAGTGAGCCACACTCAAGAGTGTGGACGTCAGAGGTGGCTTATGATCCAGTCTGCCTTACCCTTAATCTGTTCACAGATATTTATTTACTAATACTTTTTCTTTCCTGAGAGTTATGGAATAGGAAAATGAAGTGTTTGCTCTTTATTTACTAAATGATTGTACACTCGAGTTTTTCATCAAAATAAAATTCCATTGTTTTAATGTTTCTGACCAACTTTGTAACTACTGTGACCCGATTTTTAATAACATAATTGGTTTTCCTCTTGTTGGTGTAAGTATAGTAGAAATTCAAGGAAGTCTAATTTAGAATATGTGCAATGAGGCACTTTAATATTAGAGCTAAGAGAGTAGTGTCTAGTTCACTCTGATGTACGGGCTGACATGATTTTCCTAAGTCACATGGTAATACTGAAGTTTCAGAGCAAGTTTTTGTTCAGTGCTTTTTCCATTATTCTGGATTGCTCTCCTGAGCATTTGATTCACGAAAATTCTACTTTAAACATTCTGTGGCATAATGCAAGAAAGAATCGAATATTTAAGTAATTTGGGCCACTTAATGTATGAAGTCATACAGCTGTGCTGTGGCGCTGTCTTTGAACAAGGTCGGCCTCCTGGACTCACACAGTCCTTTGGAGCCCAAGGCCTGAGGTTAGTGAAAAGGGTAGAGAGCTAATCCAGCTTTTTGGCAGTTCTCACCAGAAGCTTGGTGCTCCTGCAGCGTATGTGAGCCTTCCTCTGCATGTGCTCGGTCACTGCCATCCTCTGGCCTCCCCAGATGGGCCTGCCTGATCTTGTCCTGTGAACTCCAAAACTGTGAGCCAAAACACAGCTCTGTCCTTCCTAAGCAGCTTCTGTCAAGTATGATACAGTGATAAAAAGCTGATTAATGCAGTCTGCAAGAAGCATTAGATGGGGGTAACAGCAGAGCGGCTAGTGTGTTATCTGATCTCGAGTTTATAAATTCAGGATTAAAAAAATTTGTAGGCAGTAATATCTTTGTTCTCATATAAAGTTGCATTAATTTGGAAGTATTATTGACAATACAGCTATATTTGTAGCATGGGAAATTGTTTAAGTCCCTGAATTGTCAAGGGCAAAAAAGACACAAAAAATGTTAGCACAAATTATCACTCTTAAATACCCACAGCAAGAGTTGATGATCTAGCTCCTGCAGCATATAGGATTTCTTCCTAAGTACTTGAAACAGGAACAGTGTTTATAGAACAAGGGAAACATTTATTAAAAATATTTAACTGTCTAATACATTATACTTTAACCCATATTTATAGTAAAGGATTCTTACAAGGAAGAATAAACAGCTTTATGATACAATTAGTATAAGAAATATCCACATGGGGGACTTCTTTGTAGTGTAAAAACACCATACATCTGAAATGACCATTTGCATATAAAAGCTACCAATGATGCTTCTGTGCACAATGATTAAAAAAATTCAACACAAACAAAATCCAAAATATACAATTAATGCAAGCTATCCACAGCTAGCCCAATAATCAATGATGAGGAAACACTGGAGCAGGCTTAGTTCCACTTTGTCTGTAGTTACACATAGTAAGATTGACTTGTATCAATGGCTCTGAGATGGCTTTTATGAAGTCAGTACATAAAAGCTGTTCTCTGCTTATCCAGTAAGCTTCACAGACTGTAAAACTCCACCAGTAATGCACTTTGATACTGTAGCTGTTGCCAAAGCAACATGTAGTGTTTACAGCGGCCATGGCAAGTCGCTGAAGTCAACAGGGCCACCCAGGCCAGCATCTGCTTCCAAGAGGCTCATGATGACGGCCATCGCTGCTTCATCGTTACTGGGACTGCTCGAGCCTTGGTCATTATCGATCATGTCTATGCCTATGTGAGGGTTTTCACCTGTGGAAAAGGCAGACTGGTCAGTGGTTAACAAAAGAAAAGCTTGCTTTGGTAATAGCCAGTATTTCCTAAGCATACTTCTATCAAAGTTACATTTTCGGCTGCCTTGCCAAAATGTTTTTATCTTGTTTTCCAGAGGAAAGGAGCATCTCTTTAGAAATAAGAACAAATGCTTAAAATTCACTGTATGTTAAAAATGCAAGTATTTGAGTTGAACTTATTTTAGTACTGAGAATCAGTTAAGAGGAGAGAGTATATTAAGAATGACAAGTAGAAAAAGTAATTCAGAGCAATATCTGGAAATGTATGTAGAGGAAAGTACGGATGGGGGAGAGCAGCAAGCTCTTATCATTTAGTGACTTCTAGGATTTATCTTTGAACTTTATGAGCTCTCCCTTTGTAGAGGTGGCCCAGACAGAGAAAACTTAGTGTCTGGGCTGCTGTAACTGCCCCATAGAAGTTCCAGGAAGAAACTATCCCCACCAAAACTATCCCCACCAAACTCAACCATTAAAATGTACTTTGAAATAGAGATTTGGATTTTAAATCTTTGTTATCAAATTGGTCTACAACTAGTTTTTTTTTTTGTAAAATTCAATTCTGAAAATGACTTTATGCCAGATGTTGTGAAAGCACATTGTAACTGTGAACAGTAATGCCACTTACCAAGAATAGAAGAACTATCAGAATATGGGTAACCTGGGTTCTCCTGAGCCTGTCCTGGTAATAGGCCACTGGAAGGAATGTCTGGAGTCCCTCCATTTAAAATCTACAAAGAAAAGGGCAAAGTATGAAGTTTTCCACTTTTTTTCCCCCAAAGGCTAATTTATTTGAAAGGCATATCCCGACCACTATCATTCCCTAAATGACTGCAAGAGATCAAGATCAGGTGAAGCTAGGAACTCTACATCTCGCACGTGGCAGGAAGGAGCAGGAGCCCAAGCACTGGGGCCTGCTGTTGCTGCCTTCCCAGGTGCGTTAGCAGGACGCTGAATTGCAAACAGTAACCAGGACACAAACTGGGATGTCCAATATAGGCCAGCCCCAAAAGTTTTCCACTCCTGAATGGAATTTTCAGTCAACACCCTGTGAGGCGTCACCAAGAAAATGAAGCGTGTTGGACAGAAGAAGTTGGGAGAGCTGCAAATGGCTTTAGTGTCCTACCTGATGATTTTAAACCAGGCACTTTCTTTTCTTTTTAAAAGAGAGCCTCCTTCCAGACTATCCTTTTTTCTGTTTGATTGAGCTAACTTCAAGGCTGAATAAAATCCCTAGAGAATCCAGCCACCTAGGATCATATTCACATTTTTCATGAAGTTTGTAAGCCAGCTGGTAGTACCTCTAGCAAGAGTTAAAACATCTTAGGCATTGCAACAGCTGTTGCTGAGGGAACAAACAGGGTTGTGGAATCACAAACACTAGAGTCAATCTTTGATCAACAGGTACACTACGGGTGGCAAGTTTGGGAACCTCTGGTTTAAGTTCTCAAGACAGGCCCCGCAGAGCATTGTTACAGCTTTGAAGAATTCTGTCTCAAAATCCCTGTTCTCACAAGGCTGCGTCCCACGTCTGAGGCGCACGGAAGTGTCCTCTGGAGGTATCTGCAGAGCTAGGGGAACAGTATGGTGTGGATTCCAGGAGCAGCAGCAATTTCAGGCCTTGCCGGTAGGTGGCATTACAACTTTTACATCTGTAATCTGCACAGTTCAGTTTTGATTTAGACATCCCTTTGCATTCTTAAAATTAGTTTTGTTTATGTAGACGGAATAGCAATTATTACTATAGTTCAAATTGTAATTAGTAGGTTTTAAAAATGTTGTAAGACCATTATATGTTAACATGAATAATGAATAGCATTTTAATTTAAAAAACAACTCAGTTTTCTTAAACAGTAACAAAACATTCATGAAAAGATTGTTACAGGTTTTACATTTCTTCAAATCTACTTTCAGGTTCCGTAAATTTAACTTGATTCTCTCGTTATCTGCTTCTATATTCAATCTGAATAGATAAAGAACTTGGCAAATAAGTTTCTTAAAGGTTAGTTCCAGTATGATCTGAAATCCTAAAAATTTTTTATACTCTGTTACATTCAAGTTCTTTGGTATATGTTGGTATTTATGACGGATTTTTTTTGTACCTTTTGATTGATTCTGGAATATCTTGACTGGTCATTCAGAAGACCACTGATTTAGGCATTACTGAGTTATACACATCTTCCAATGCAGACACATTTCCTCATTCATTAGGAACTCAGCACCACCTATCCCACCAGAAACATCTTTTTGAGTTTTCAGAAGCTATCAAGCTCAAAGCAGCAGATTCAGGCTTTCCAAGAATCCTAGTATTTCCATGAAAGCTCATTCTATCATTGGCAAAAATGTTATAAGTTTTCTTTTAAGGAACAAGATAAGTTTATTCGCTTAAAAAATTTCTTGTTAAATGCTCAATTTGGAATAACTGGCATTTACCGTGGTACAAATGGTATCCTATGAACAAAGTAGGTGATTGAGCTCTCAACCTGAGCCACTGCCCTACCTTGGTACACAGGGCACTTTCATGATCTTTACTTCATCCTTAATGTCATTCTTCAACTGGACTTTATTGTCATTGTGAGTTGGTGGCAGTAGATAGTACAATGACTACGAGGAAGCTTTTACACTGCCCCAATTTGTGTGAATACACCACAAACTTCACCTACGTTGCTTCTGCACTATTGATGCACACAACACAATGAAAAATGAACAAACTTTAACCTTACAGACCCAAGAAAGGGTCCTGAGGCACCCTACCCTCCTCCTAAAGGATCGTTCAGCATCTGTACAACTGCTGCCTGGTCTGCACTGGCCTCTATGCTTGTGGATGTCCCTAGGACCTAGGGGACCAGCTTAGCCACCTCCTTTTAATTTGATCCTTAACTAAAACAGCTGCAGGCTACCTGGTTCACTGTTAGCTCTGCCCAATTTGGAAAGGACTGGCATTGGATGCCCCATTTAAAGGTGCCCTTGTTTTTAACACTGTCTTGTTTGGCACACCTTTCTTCCAGAGACCTCAGAACACATTCAACAATTTATTCTCTCAGGCTCAGTTTTTATAAGTGGAAGTGAAATACATGAATGTTAATAATACATTTAAAATACATGTGTGTAACAAAATACAAAAGGAAAAATTCACAAATGCCTCAAAAGTACTCGAGGCTTTATGTCACACAGCACAGCGTAGCATTTTGGCAGTTGTTGATGTGAAAAGAATCAGAAATCATAATACCAGAATTCATTGGGAGCCCTAAGTATTAAATGCTAACAATGCCGGGGAGCCTGAATGACAAGTTGTGAAGAGGAAATGATTTACAAAAGTTCTCGGTGGTACCTAAGCACACACTGGAATAATAACCTTGGAAGCCAGATGTCTAGAAGCCAAGACTCGGAGACAGCAGTTTACTCTAAGGAAACGGTGGATGCAGAAGGGAGAAGGAACACAGTGTAAGCAGCAGATCCGAAACAGCTACTGGCCTGTGGGGAGACACCAAACCCACCTGCTCCTTATCTGTGGCTGTTTCCGGTGTCATTACCAAGGACCAGGCACTTTCTTACACACACCCACAGCTCTTGGTAACCTGAGCCTCCACAGAGCCCAGTTTGAATACCCTGCCTTGGCTTTGGATACAGTTTGTACCCTAGGAGTCTTGCCTGTGTAAATTCTTAATATGCTTCCTCTCCTGTTCCCATTTTGGGGACAGAACAGGAAGGATGTTGGTTTTTGGTCAGCCCTAGCCTGTATTGATGTTGGCCACTAGAAATACATTTATGGCTCTCAATTGACACAGACGTAGACTTGTAAACCCTGACACGGATGAAAACAGGTAAGTAGTTCCTAAACTGTTTATAGGGTAGATTTCATGAGGACTGATCACCAAAGACTTGTGTACAATACTGTCACATCACAGGAAATCCAGGCAGTAGACCCCAAGTATTCTGCAGCCATAAGACATGGCTAGATTTCCCATGCACCGTGAGCTGTCTGGCCAGACTGCTGTTTTTAATGTCTGCCCTATACTGTTCTCTCCATTGAAAACTCCACAGAGAAAAAGACACCTTTCTATGTGAGACACCCTCTAAACCTCTCCTGATGGGAACTCCAGAACTGCTCCCTTAGCCACTGGCCTGAGAATTCCTTAGACTGTTCGGCTAAAAATCTTCTGAGGATGTCAGTTATCTTACAGAGCTGCATTTGCTTCTAGGAGGAAACAATTCACTTGTTTCAACAACCACAATTGTAAATCTATATCCCACAAGCAATGTTGGAGCTTCTGGGCTGTCTAGCCCGAGTCCCTGGCCTTACCTTCTTGCCTCCCGGGGAGGAGGCATCAGGGGGAGGCGTGCTTGTGATGTTCAGTGGGCTTGAGCCACAGCTGGAAGGTGAGGATCCTCGTATCCTGTCAAGGAAGAGAAGAGCTAGTTACAATGCCTTAAAGGGGAAGGAGAGAGTGAAGTTAGACTAGATGTTGGTCAGTTTTTCCCTATGGGGCAGACAGTAGGTCCTGTAGGCCCTAGGATCTTTGTCACACCGGCTCCACTCTGCCACTGGAGCTTGAAATTTGCCATGCGCAATACATAAATGAATGGGTTTCAATAAAACCATTTAAAACAATTGGATTTGTTCTGTAGACACCCTGGTGTAGAATGCAAAATTGGAGACAAGCATTTCACTGACACAGTCCTTGGATCCAAGTTTAGATTCAGGTTATTCCATTTTGAGTGAGTCAGAACTATTTCCTCACAACATGAGATGAACTGAAGGCCTTAGAAGTTCAACCTTCATCTTGGCAGGAGGGGCCATGGGGAGTTCGACCTTGGGGCTTGGGTGGAGAGCGCTCCCAGCAGCAAGGTGGCTGCTGTGGGTACCTGAGCCAGGTCGGACTCAGTGCTTGGGGCCTTAGCCCCAGCCACTGCTGCCAAGCAGTGAGTGAGTCCTAGGCCCGAGAATTTTCTCCCTTCATGACAAGTACACTCTCGGGAGCTTGGGTTGGTCCCTGGCTTCGCCTGCTGTCGCCATCTTGGGCTTGCAGGCAGTCAGAGCACCAACCAATGCCAGGTTATGCCAGCTGGCCACACGGGGGCAAGTTCGGGTGCTTTAGGGGTGTGGATGCCTAAGGACATCCATGGATAAGGCCACTGTGTGTGTAGGTGAAGGAATGAATCTTGAACTCCCAACTACAGGGCCACTGTACTTGCAGAGTGTTCTGGCTGCCCCTTTGACAGCCCTTCCAAACTGAGATGACAGCTCTCCTGACTCTTCTGTGCAGGATCTACACACACCAACTACTTCGTGAGCTCTCACCCACCAGGATCACTCTTTTGCAGCTTCTCAATGTCGCTGCTCAAGTCCTCATCCAGCACAGATTCTAAAACAGACCAACCCAGCAAGCCCCCAAGCACAAAAGACCTTCATCTTAGTCAAACTCTTGAAGTTGAGAGGAAAAATCTCTCTCCTTCCATCTCCCCTGCAAATGCCTTCCCCCAGGACCTGCCACTTTGCTTTTAAGGAAAACGTGACATATATATTTCCCTACAAATTAAGAGCTTATCTTGCCAGACCATCCTGAGCAGGAGGGAATGTTCAGTCTCTCTTCTGCTCACAGACTGGAGTGGACTTCTGAGGAGTTATTTATGGGTAGAACACTAGTTAATTACAAATATGTAGATACTTTGAGAATAAATTCATCACAATAAAAAGTTCAACCTTCATCTTGATACAGTGAGCTAGAACCCACAACCTACAAACAATAAACAGTGTTGGTATCATGTGAGAGCAGCTCAATCACACCCAAAAAGTAATAGCATTAGCAGTGCTGGCAATGGCAGCAGCATGAAAACCAGCAGTCATGCATGATACAGCAGCCTTCTAAGGCAGGTAATGAGAAGTGGGTCCAGGGCACAGCAGCTAAAGTAGCCTAGCGGCTAAAGTCTTTGCCTTGCACGTGCTGGGACCCCATATGGATGCTGGTTCTAATCCAGGTGGCCCCACTTCCCATCCAGCTCCCTACTTGTGGCTTGGGAAAGCAGTGGAGGATGGCCCAAAGCCTTGGGACCCTGCACCCATGTGGGAAATCTGGAAGAGGCTCTGGGTTCCTGGTTTCTGATCGGCTCAGCTCTAGCTGTTGTGGCCGCTTGGGGAGTGAATCAATAGACAGAAAATCACCCTCTGTCTCTCCTCCTCTCTGTAATTCTGATTTTGCAATAAATATAAAATCTTGCAAAAAAAAAGTGGGGCCAGGCTTTTCTCAGCTCACATCTCACCTGGATCAGTACTTCATAGACTTAGATCCGTGAACCCACATGAACTCGTCAGGCTGAGGGAATTCCGGAAAGAGCCATGGCACGGGCTACAGTTTAGGGCGACTGTAGGGTCAGCTGAGCTCCTGCATGGACTGACTAGCTGTTGGGCATCTATGGACTACTGTGCAGCAGCCTGCTGGTTCCTGGCCTGTATTGCTACTTTTTAGATTTGTGCGTGAATAAGTTTTCTCTCCTCAACTACAAATTGCTCAAGATGAGCAGACGATTACACACCATGTGCTCTCAGCATACAGAGATGCGACTTATTGCTTACTAAAAAGTTACTTAGTCTCTCCTACCTTTACCTGCTTACATCTGCAAAACCACTCTCTTCCCAGGTTCCCCAGCATGGAATTTCCATCCTTTCTTCACCTTTCAGACTTTAGACCATTGGTTTTCCTTTTGATAGCATCATTGTTGTCATGCCCACCCTATTGCAATCTAACATGGGGTCTTTTAAGTTTTCTTTGCTCCATATCATTTCCTAAGATTCTTAACCTAGTTCTTTCCTAGACAGAACCCACTTAGATGGCCAGTTTTCTTGACCCTGAATGTGCCACTCACATGCCCACTCAAGAGTATGCTTGCCTTTAAGGCCAGCATTGCAATGCAGTGGTGCTAAGCTGCTGCTTGAGGTAGGCTTCCCACACTGAAGTGCTGGTTTGAGTCCTGACTGCTCTGCTTCTGATCCAGCTCCTTGCTGATGCAGGAGCAGACAGCCCACATACCTGGCCCGGCCATGCCTGGGAGACCTGGATACAGTTTCTGCCTTCTGCTTTCAGCCTGGACACTGAGGCTTTTGGGAGTGAACCAGCAGGTGGCAATCTGTCTCTGCCTCTCCCTCCATTCCTCTATTTTTCAAAGAAATAGATCTTAAAATTATTTAAAACACACACACAACTGTGCCTTTTTTTAGAGGGAACAACTCTGTCATCACAAACTCTGGCTGAGGCCCTTCCTTGCTTGCTTCGGCCCACACACTCCTCCCCTTTCCTGTCATTATAGAGAAAATAGCTTCTCAAAGATTTAAAGATCCTTGAGATCAAGGGCTCTGAGACCGTTCTTGGATGGTCTTACAGAAACATGGGACATGTAGTGGCTGGTCAGAACTGAAGACACCGTGCACAACCCCCACCCACATCTTCTTAAGTCACAGGCAGCCATCCACATGTGCAGAACTAGTACCCAGGGAAAAAGCAAAGCTAGTCTCCATTTCCAAGAGAATCCAGTGGCAGCAAGAAATATTCACCTTTACCCACTTCTTCTATGACTGTTCCATTTAAGCTGCTTTTCTAAGTATCTGGTTACCACCCTCTCCATTCCTCCAGATTCAAATGGATTTATAATAACTGCTTCCACCTACTGACTGCTTTTAAAGACTTGGATTTAATGATCAGTTTTTCAGCCCTCATTGTATGTCAGTGTTCCAGGAACTTACCTGAGTTCCCTCACAATCCTAACCTAATCATTGGGAGGCAGAATCCAAGATATCAAAATGAATTCCTAAGTACAACCCCTGAGAGATTGGCCCAGAACTCAACTGCAGCGAGTGGGGGCAGCTCATAAGCTCCGCTTTCCTCTGACACTAGCACACCTCCTAGGTCCCTATCCCAATCCTGCACAGCCTGTAGCTGGGAAGGGCAGGGTGATCGCCAAGCTCCCTTAAGTCCTCCAACACTGATGCACATCCCTCCTCAAGGGAAGCACCTAGATGTCGTATCCTCAAGCAACCCCGTTTACTCTGGTCTGTCTCTGGCTTCTTTATTGAAGGCAGTCTCCACATGCTTGCCATTTTAGACTGAGAATTCTGTGCTGGGGTGGAGGTACTTAGCAAGCAGCACTCCTGCTCTCTGTTCACTGGATATTCAGCAGGGTCCCCCCACCCAACTGTCACAGCTGAAATGTCTCCAGATGTTGCAGAACAACCCTAAGGGGCCAAGCTGGCCAGCGGGAAGACAACTCCTTTAAGAAAGTGGCTAAGAAGTGTTACTTGCCTGTGCATTTCCATGATTTCCTCAGCAATCATTCGACCTATTTTTCCTGCCCCAGCCCGGGTTCCCCCTGGAATCCCTGGAACAGCAGGGTGGGTCCTCTTTGGGCCACCTACAACAAAGGAATCAGAGTGGGATAGGGAACACCTGAGGATGAAATACTGCTATGTGTTAAAAAGCCAGTTCCTCCCATCATTCACTGGCAGTTCCATGTCAGGGTTGTGCCCGGAGAAGCATCTTGGCCACAGCTTGTCAGAAAAAGGCATTCCAGCAGGAAGAGTCAAGCTTCTTATCAGGATCAGAGGTCAGAGTCTGGACACGAAGCAGCCGATTTGATTGCCTTCATGCACCAAAACCCACTTAACACACACTAAGCACTGTGTCTGAGGGTTTACAGAGACAAGCCTCTGTCCCTGCCCTCAAGGGGCTCACAGGAAAGGGGAGACAGACTAGATGGGCAATGGCTACAGCGAAAGTGTGGTCGATTAAACAGGTAAGCATGAGGCAGCCATCTCATCTCAGGCCTGGTGTGACTTTCTGGAAGAGGCTGCCCTGGAGCTGTGTCTGCAGAGGTGAGTATACATTAGCTTGGCAGAGAGAGGAGGAGGGTGGAAAAGTATCCTGGCAATAGCAATGAACATGTGAAAGAGCACAGAGGCAGCACATCCCGTGGGAGACCACAGCAAGGAATTCAAGGAGTGACGGTACAGAAACGGAAGGCCAAAGTGGAGCGTCAAGTACAATCAGCTCAGGGGGGACCCTGGATGCCACACAACCCAATGCAGATTATCCACAAAGGGATAAGGATCAGCACAGGACTTAGCCCAGAAAAGGCATCCAATGAGATCTGTATTATTAGAAAGTCTACCACCTGGAGCATGAGCTGCAGTCCCACAGCAGTTCACAGTAAGGATGTGTTCTGAAGAATGTGTTAAGTGCTTCTGTTGCGGTGCAGTCCTCATACACACTGAGACAGTATAACCGACTACCCAGCTAGGCAATGCGGCGTAGCCTGTGACTTACTGAGTGCTGCAGGCAAGGGGAACATAGCAGTAAGGATTAGTGCGCCTCAAGTGTACATGAACAGACTAGTTCAGCATCACCAGGGTGGGAGTAAGGACACGATGGCCCTATTGCCACTCAGTGATGGGAGTTTTTCAGAGCACCACTGACACACACGTAGCTTCACAGTGACTGAAACAAGGTGCAGCATATGAGTTACCTGCACCACTCCAGGCATCAGGTGAGGAGGGCAAGCAACCCCCAGTGGTGACAGGTTTAAGAGACAGAAAGGACAGGATTTGGTGCTCAGCTATTATACGGGAGAGGCAGAAGGCAAGCTTTCTGGCTTCAACAAGCAAGCACAGTGGACAGCGCAGAGAACTAGGGAGGGCTGCTCAGAATCCCAGCTGGTGAGACAGATCCAGAGCTTAGCAGAGAGAGACAGAGCCTGAAGATATGGCTGTGGGAGCCTCCGAGGGAGTTGAAGGCTGGAGTAGCCCCAGGAAGGTCAAGTCCAATGTAGAGAGTGAGTGCCAAGGCCTACCCTGGGGAGCAAGGAGCTTGTGGGCATGGCACATACCGCCAGCACTTCCCTTACTACAGAAACCAGTGGCAGCCAGCAAGAGCAACACAGCAAGAAAACCTAAGAAGGGCAAGGAGTTTCTGGGGTGCTGGCTGCCTCCGGGAGAGGACAGCATCATCGGTCACTCACTGGAAGATGACCACAGCGCCCCTGGTCCCACAGAATGTGATGGCAGGGGAGCCTGTGCCTGGGTGGGAGCACTCAGGCCACAAACAGCTCCTCCTGGTGAGCCCCCATGCCCCAGTGGCGAGCAGTTACCTTCCCCGGCGGGCAGCATGCTGTCCATACTGTGCGGGGATGCCGTGAGCTGTGGGAAGCTTGGGTCCCCGCCTTCCAGGACGTTGGCTCTGTGAACATGCAGCAATAAGGAATCATGAGTCTGGTCTGCTCAGGACCACGCACCTTTCATCTTGGCCCAGGTAATGGCCTCAACTGCCTGCTGCCGCTGCTGTAGCCTGCCCCCTGTTGGTGGTGCTCCAGCATACCCAGCCGGGTGCCAGTCCCGTGCTCAGCTCTAACCACGGAGGGCAGCTTGGGTGCTGTGGGAAGCAGGTGGGAGGAGCAGGCTAGGCCAGAGAGCAGGCTCCTTCCCTCACCACCACTCACCTAACAGGCGGCGGGCTTCAAGGCAGCATGGAGACCAACTTTAGCCAAGGTCAGAGTGTGCCTTTTGTGGGTGGTCAGCCCCTCCCTCCACAGCCATACATGAGGAGGCGCAGAGGTGTGGGGCCTGTGGAATTTGAAGGTCTGACTGACTGCTTAACATGGAAGGAAACATTGCTGCCTCCTGGGGCAGGTCCAGGAGCCGGGACCTGCACAGGGTGGGTGCTGAAGCTTGCCCACTTCCAACAGCCCCTCTGGCTTCTGCCAATCCTGTATTAGCAAGGCTGCATTAGAGGCTGTGATACTGGCTGTTGCCCGAATCCACTTTCCCAGGGAGGGAGCAAAAGAACCCGTGACACAGGGAAGAAAATACTCACAGAACAACAGTGTTGGTTGACACGATATATTCTACTTCCTTGGTCCAAGGGTTCATGAAACTGAACCATCGACTTCGTAGCGTGATGAAGGATCCATCTTTGATTTTAAACTTATAACAATTGGTTGTAATCTTTTCTCTAGTCTGTAAGACTGAAAATGCAGAAAGAAAAGACACAAATGTTGTTTCCCTGGAGCAGTGTCTCCAACAGCACACCCAATGCCAATGCCAATGGTGCTCCAGCTGCAGCACCATCTCTTGGCACAGCCAGGAAGCCAGCACTCGGCGCTTTGGAAGCACAGGCTGATTCTGAGGCTGTGACTCGGAGCCTGTCAACTCACAATTCTCAGGACCTATGAAAGCGAGGCTCCAGGACACAAACATTTCCTACACATCTAACTGGAAACTGCTCTGAGCCCAACACTGACGGGAGCCACATTAGCCAAATAGGCCAGCCTCTTCCCTGCTGCAGAGCCCTAAGGCAGCCCAGCCCTTCCCGTGGCTTTAGGACATCTTGCAGGAGGCCGTTCACCCATTCCAACCCCACTATCACAGGCGGCAAACACCCAATGAACACCTTTCTCAGGGCAGGTGCTGGTAGAGACTAGAGAGGACACAGGAGGTGACCCTGCCCTCCCAGAGAGGAGTGAGGAAGAGAGCAGTGCTGCGACGGACCAGCCAGTTTGCCAGGAGGGTGGGTGGGATGAAAGCAGTAGAGGCCAGCAGGTGGCAGGGCCAGGGACCTGGAGATGTGTAGGGTGGCTGATGAAACTGCCGAGGTGGGAGGGCCTGAACACAGACACTGTCAGGAGTCTTTCACAGGTGCCCAGAGAGGCACCAGGACTTGAACCAGAGTCATGGTTGGGGGCGGTACAAGGTGCCTCCGGAAATGCATGCCTGATTTGGGTATGGAACAGACACGTGGAGGGGAGGGGCTCAATGCTGCCTTCTCCTGCAGGGTGGCCAACATGGCCCTGTGCTGGTCAAGGAAGCTGGGCCGGTTTGTGTAGAGAAGAGAATCAGATTAGTCTGGGCCACAGCAAGGCACCCAGGGCATCATCTTACTGTGCTCCCCTCAGGGTCTCCCGCACCTCTGTGGGCAGACTGCTCTGTGAGGTCGCAAGGACCTGTCTAGAAGCAGGGGCTGTCTCACGCTTCTGGCCTGTTCCACAGTGCCGCTCACCTTGCCTATGACACTCTGCGAGGTGCCCTATGTCATCTTGGTGAAAATACTCGTAACACGACGTGCCTAGAAGCTCTTGCGGTAAATACGCCAAAATAGCTGTGGCCCTGCAAAGGGAACAGGCACATTCATCAAGAGGAAAAAGCCACTTGGACAAGCCATTCCAACTCTGCCAGGGCTCACGAGAACAAGGGCTCGTGAGCCGGAGACCCTGAAATCTCTCAGAGCTTATTGTTTGTTGTGGTTCCCCACCTCCTGCCATACCCTCGACACCCAAATTTAATCAAGGCTACAAAAGAGGAAAGTCAAGCTAGAAAAACCTTCCAAAGGCACTAGTATCACAAGAAATCAAATGTTAGTGGATTCAGAAATGGCACCCATATTGATTAGGTCACAGTGTAGTCATCATCAAAGTGGAATGGCCCCTTCCACTGCCATTTCTTTTTCTTTCTTTTTTTAATCAGGAAAACCAAACAACTGTGCCCACAGCAAATTTGAGCAGTGTCCCTTTCTAGCATTTCATGGCTGTTGTGTGGAAGACTGGGAATATTCCTTTTTTTTCTTTAATTGTTTTAGTTTAGTTGGTGCTGGAGTTTCCCTTCCCCCTCCCCCAACTTCCCTTCCCTCCCCTCCCCTCTGCTCTCCCCTCCAGTCTCACTAGGGGCCTGGGAATATTTCTAAGGGCGGCCGTAGGGAGCAGTACTGTGGCCATCTGGGCTCTAGCCCTAGGTCTCCCAGCACCAAGCCGTGACTCCTGCAGAAGGCCAGGCTGCAGGCGAGGCTGCAGCTCCTCACCTGCCAGATGAGGCCGCTGGGCCAGATCAAGGCCGCCCAATAGCGCTGCTGGCAGGGATGGGGACGCTCCCGGTTCCATCAGTACCTGAGCTCTCCGAATGGGACTGCTGAGCTGAAGAACTGGTTTTTGAATTTTGATTGACTCGGTTAAAAACTAAACAGCCATATAAGGCTACCACAGCAATGACTACTCTACTAGGTAACTCAGGAGTAACTGTTTCCGAATCCTCTATTCCAGAATTTGAATCACAGTACTGGTCCCTACATTCAGATGTCATACCCAATCACCCCATTCAACTGTCTCTACATGGCAAAGATGATCCCAAGTATCATTTTCCAGCAGGGATCCTGGTCCCTTCCCACCCTTTCCTGATGGAGGGAAAGGCTAAGCATCCAGCCTTCTCTACCTTTCAGCTTGGGCTTGGAAACCCTCTAACATCCTTACTTAGAGGTGACATGAATACTCGTACCTCTGGTCCACGAAAACAAACTTCCCATCAATCGCGTGCCGAGAAACATATTCCATGGACTTGACCCTGATTTCCCCATTCACTGGTTGTGGAACCATGTGAGAATGCAGCCGTCCGATTGCGACCAGGCAGCTGAGGTTACATCCCTCGTTGTCCGGCTCGTTGTCTTCGTCCAGCCCCATCTTTGTGGGTGGCCAGCTTTTCAAATACCCTGTGCTGTGGATTGTGCAGAAGCTCTTTCGATCTGCTAGAAAATGAAGTCCACGGTTAGTGTCAGGGCTTTTGGATTTGGGTCATGGAGGCATGGCCAGCTGATAGCAGCCGGTGGGGAATGTGAGGGACTGTAGGTAAGGTATCCAAAAATAAAAATAATAAGGCCTCACTCTCCAGAGGAGCTAGCCTGAGGGATGGGTAGAAAAACAAGGCAATCATCGCCCATGGTCATATACTCAGTAGAGCTAGTTATACCCAGAAGGCACAACACATGCCAACAGAGGATTGTCTAAGTCTGGTGGAAGAGGAAGGCACTCCAGAAAAACCAATGCAGGACAACCAAGCAGGAGAAGCAGCGAGCAGGCATTCAGCCTGGCAGTTAAGAGGCTTGGATCCCACACCAGAGTACCTGGGTTCAGTTCCCAGACCTTGACTCCAGCTTCCTGCTACTGTAGACCACTAGAGACAGCCACGAGTGGCCCAAGTGGTTGGGTCCCTGCCACCCACATAGGACATGTGGACTGAGTTCCTGGTTTCAGATCTGCCTCGCCCCCCACTGTGCCTGGAGCTAGCAGATGAGAGCGCACTCGTCCTTCTTCTGCCCCTTCAACAAGCAACAACAAGCAGTGGCCAAGGGACTGGAACCTCGAAGACCGGGAGTGCCTAAAGACCTGGAGGCACATCCTGTACAGGAAACTGCAGAGAGCTCCGTGTGGCTGAAGGGAAGTGGGCCAAGGTCTTAGCAAGTAGAGCTGGGAAGGCAAGTTGGGGTAGATTGTAAGGAGTTTGGGATAACAAATGAGATGGTCTTTTCTCGAATAAGAAAAAGAGAGCTTCTAAGGTGTTCAAGTAGAAAAAACAGAAAAATGAAATCATGGCCCAGATGTTCCAGAAATAGAGGGACGGGTAAGGGAAGCAGGAAGGCCGGTTCCAGAGGCCAGTGGCAATAACACAGCAAGAGATAATGACAGCTGGCAATGACAACGAGAAGATGGAGGGAGGAAGCCACGCAGAAGGGTTGGAATCTGATGTGAATATTAGGCAGGAGGAAAACAAAGAAAATAAAAATGACCCTGGCTTTTCTGAATCGTGTGATTATTGGTGTTGCTCACAGACCAGGAAAGACACAGACAGAAGAGAGAGAGAGAGAAAAAAAATCATTTAAATTTGGGACACAGTTACGTGTGGATCACCTATGGAGTTCAACTACAAACAAGTTACAGGGTGTTTGCCAAGTAGGAGTCTGCACTGGTTACTGGAATTCAAGGGAAAACAAACCGAGTCACACTCCTGTGGAGTTTCCAGTCTAGCGGCAAGAAAGACTAAACAGCGACTCATCCAAGTAGTTTCACTGCTGCAACTGCAAGCAAGCACTAGCAAGGCGACCTACAGGGGCCACAGGCCGGGACACAGCTGCCTAGGCCAGAATAAAGCCAGTGAAGGGCGCTGCCAGGGGGTGAGGGCAGAGTCCCTGAGAGGTGGCAGCATGGACACAGGCCTCGCCCAGACGGGCTGAGGCGCTCCGAGGAACGCACTGTGTGGCAGTGGGAACACTGGCTGCCCATTGCTTACATTTAGTGGTCTCAGTTTTTCTTCAAGAGAAAAGCAAAACACTGAAGGCTTTGCAGCAAGTGACCCAGAAAACAGATTTGCATTTGATCATTCAGGGGATTTGGCCACTTGGAACCATCACAGCCCACACTGGGGTGCCTAGGACAGAGTCCTGCCTTTGCTTCTGATGCAGCTTTCTGCTGAGGCAAACTTGGTGAGGCAGCAGCAGGTGCCTCAAGCACTCGCGCCTGGCCATCCATTTGGAGGACCAGGACAGAGTTCCTGGTTCCTGCCTTCAACCTGGTATAGTCAGGTTGTTCAGACTGGGGACTTAACAAGCGGATGGAAGATCACTTCACTTCTCTCTCCCGCCTTAAAAAAAAAAAACATATATATATATATATATATAGAGAGAGAGAGAGAGAGAGAGAGGGAAAGAGTAGGTATATGCTACTGAGCGGAGGGTGAGCAGCATGCAGAGCCAGTCTCTGCAGACCTGGGGAGAGCTGGGGCGGCTGGATGTGAACAAGCAATAGGGTGGGCACAGACCTGGATCAACAGTGCACCTGGCGCTCACTGTGGCACGTTGCCTAATTGGGTGGTGACCAACAGAAGGGTGCTCGCCAGGCTTCTGGCCAGAGCAGCCAGCTGCGAGGCGATGCCATTGACACTGAAGGGAAGTTCTGGCAGTGCCTGTGGCCTGTGGCCTGTGGCCTACGTCATGTTTGGGAGGTCCTTGAGAGAGATACCCAAGCGGCTAGATCTACTAAGCAGTGATTTATGAAGTGGGAGTTCAGATGAGGAATGGGACTGAAACACGCTGCCCCTGGCATGTACATGGCATTAAGGTTGAGGGAGTGGCAGCCCACCAAGAAGGGAAGCTGTGCCAGGACAGAGAGCAGGAGGATCCCAACGAAAGTATCCAGCAAGACAGCCTGTAATGGCAGGATGGTGGGGACAAGGGAAGTGCCGTGTGAGCAATTCCTGGCAAAACGAACCCTTCCAGAGAAAGGAAAATGGAGAGTGTCCGTGCATCCCACAGCATGCAGGGGAACAGCGTGCTGGGGCAGGTGCTCAGGGGGCAGTTAGGACCCTGTCCTGACTGTGTGCACACAGAAGGAGCAGGCACACAGCCTTCCCACAAGCCTCTGTCCTCCCTCCCAGCTGCCCGCTCTGACAGGGGATGGCAGGGTCCAGGCTGGAGCCACTGAAGCAGTATCCTAGGGGCATGCCCCTGCAGGGGACTGTGGGGCTGTGAAGAACTGGGAAATGGTTACCTTTTTTCTTAGAGCAGGTCGAGGGGAAGTCCTTGTCTTCAACCTTTACCGAAGGCCTGTTACACTTCATCCTACAGAAGAAAGAACGCCGTGCTCCAGAACATAATCGAGATGGCCCAGGGGTTATATCTGTCTTAACTGGAAGTCCAGCTGCAAATCAACACACAAAATGTGATAAACTAAGTGTAGCGGTGTCTGTCAGGAGGGGCAGTGTGACCTTGAGCCAGCCCTTGCCTTACTGCCTCAGCGTTACACGGGATGCGAGCATCAGTTCTCCCCACTTCAGACCTCAGAAGACCTGCTGCGCACAGGTGCATCGCTCACACTTCACTACTGGATGGATGGATGAGGGTCTCTGGGGGCAGCACAGGGTCTGCTCCTGACCGAGCTGGGGGAATGGCAGTGTGCCCTGAGAAGCGATGGTGAACACACAATCACGTGTGATTAGTGCCTAGAGTGGCAAAGCAGCCTGAGCTCCCCGAGGAGGAAGGAGCTGCTGGGGCTGGCATCAGCAGCATGGGCAAGATGGCAGGAAGCTGTGATGGCTCTAAGTTCTTGCCCTGGCCTGGGGCCAGAATCCCTCGGGTGCTGCTCCCACATTCAGATTCCCGGGCTCTACTCCAGATCCATGCTGTCTAAAACAGCCACGAGGCTCCACGCAGCTCTTGAGCCCCCTGCATGTGACTTTTCTGAAATGAGGTACTTTAAGGGTGAAATACACACAGGATTTCAAAGAACTAGTATCAAAAAGGGAAATGAACTTATTAATGCTTAAAATAAATTTGACATGGTAAATATTTTACATTTAGTGAGTTAGATAAAATATTCAAAATTACTTTACACTTATTTTTGCTTTTTTTTTTTAATGTGGCTACCAGCAAAATGTGCAATTATACACATGGCTCATGTTTGTGTCTCGCAGCATTTCCCTGGTGCTGGGCTGATCTAGCTCAGTTGCATTAGATGGTTTGGAGGTGGGTGTGACTACAATGGCGAGCCCCTGGGCAACGCTGACCCCTTGCAGTACAAGAGCAAACGGTCAGTGCAGAGGGAGGCTGCGGGTTACAGATCACTGTAGGGGCGGATGCAGGGCGTGGTATGTAAGAAGGGGGGAGTATCCCACGACCACCCTAAGAGCAATCGGGCAAAGAGTAGCTCCTGTTGGGTGTCCTCCTGTCTAATCTACCTTCTCTGTGACCTCCCCAGAACAGTGACCCAAGCCTGGCCCTCAGACCACAAAGATTTTTGTGGTGCAATTGCCTGACCCTCTTCCTCAACTGGCTACCTCCCCCACACACATTCTGCTCCAGTAGCAGCAAGCAGCCCATCGGGTGCCACCCTGCCTCTCTTCCTTCCTTCATCGTCTGGCAAACTAACTCCGCTCCACAAGCCCACCCGGAGCTCATCTACTCAGTGATGCCTGAGCTCACACCCACATGAGAATTACTCATCCTGCTCCCTCTGCCTGGTCTATTTCGATGGCTGCACCTGTTACTGTGCAGGTGCTGTCTGTCTCCTCGCCTTGCTGCCCGCAGGGTAAGAGCTGCAGGGCGAGGACCGAAGGCCATTCATCGTTTTTCTCCTGAGGTCACTACAAGGATGCTAGGGCCAGACTACAAAGGGTCATGGGTACCAGGGAGCACACAACGAAAAGGAGGTGTCAAAGGAGATCTCTGGTGGCACTGCTCTCAGGGGCTAATGTGGAGAGCCTGGCAGCAGCAAGCTTGCTATGGGCAGGACTGCACTGGGCCAAGGTGACATGACACTGACTGTTTGTACGAAGCACTGAGAACTTCCCTGCATTCTTCATTTGGCAACCTGGCACAGTTCATCCTCACAGCTACCCAGTGAAATAGCAGCTGAGGAAATGCAGGCACAGAGAGGTTAAGTAACTTGCTCAAGGTCACACAGCTCGTGAAGTGGAGAGCCAGGACATGACCCAGGCACCTGCCTCCAGAGTTCACGCTCTGCTACAGGAGGGCACAGGCTGCCACAGGACCAGCAGAGAAGGCAGTGTCATACAGGGGGCACGGGAGCAGGTGCAGGAATAGAAAGCGGGGGGGAGAATGTGAACAGTGGGTCCACTGCTTTAAGAAGGAAGCCAGGAGCAGAAGCTGATCTACCCCTGCAACTGCTTCGGTCAAAGAAACATGTTAATATGAGAGATGCTCTTATTTTTATTTCTTTAAGCTACATATGTGCAACTCAGATAAATAGATTCCTAATTTATTTTGAGAAAACAAATCAAAGTGGGGAGAGCCCTTTAACGCTTGGAAGCACACAACACAAAATTTCCATATTCTGAAAAAAACAGAATCAATGAAAACCCAGGAAAGACCAAGTGAGCATAGCTCTTCCTCCCCCCAGTTAATGGGGACGTGGAGGGTTTTCTCCTGTCTACATAAATCACACAAGCCCAAAGCAATGTAAACAATGTCACTTAGCCACCACTAGTGGCTGTGGCCTACAGAAAGGGCAGAGAAGCTGTGGCCACTTGCATGCGCCGCTCTCTCTGCTCACAGGGCACTCGGGGGACGCTTCTCCGTACTCACTTTTTGCATCTATGAGCCGCTCCCGGGGCGCGGTGTCGGAGGAGGAGAGCTGCTCCTTAACTTTGGCGATGTCTTTAGGATGCAGGTAGTCAAACAAACTCTGACCAATCAGATCATTCTGTGGGGATGAGATGTTGAAAATGACAAGTCAGCTGGATGCAGACGATCAGTTGTGTAACAAGCGCCCAGCCCAGACATCAGTGTCTTTATTTTGTATTTTTAAGTATGAGAATCGCAAACATGTCGTGCATAGATCTTTACATACATGTGTCCCAGCCCTGGTGTAGAGCAACAGGATGAAGGTGGCATCCAGAGGGGGATTCTAATCTACACTTGATCAACAATTTGAGCGAGGAAAGGCTCCATCGCAACAGAGTTCACACTCCTCCAAGGCAAGAATCGTTGGGTTGCACCTGCTCTTTCTCCTTTCTTTCTGGTGCCACGACTTCCACTGTGAGAGGGATGCAGTGGTGGACTGATCCCAGCTCTGCCATTAAGCCCCCCTGTTCCTAAATCATGTCAGACCACACTCCTGTCACCTTATTCTTAATTAGGGAGGTGGGAAAAAATACTGCCTCCATGATTTTGCTCTAAGGTTAAAAGTATTACATTTACATTTATTCTGATTCGTGTGAATGTCATTTTGATTCTGTTTTTCTGCCTCCCAGACATCTATGCAAACACTGGTGTGTGAATGAATGAATAAATGAATGGATGGCTGAATTAATGAAAACCTCTGGCGGACATAACAGGTGAAAAGCTTCATTATTGAAGCTTTAATACATATTACTCTTATCTGATCCAATAAACTACCATAAAATCTCTGAGTAATTATAATTTTTAGAGGAAGATGAGGTTCAACAGAGCGTATGACTGCGCAAAGTAGTATAGGGTAGCATGGGCTTTGGATATAGCAGTTAGGAGGTGTCACCCAGGAGGCAGGCACTGTGGTGCCGCAAGTTAAGTCAGCATGTGGGGTGCCTGCATCCGTTAGTGTGTTTAGCTTGAGTCCTGGCTGCCTTGTTTCTGATCCAGATTCCTGCTAAAGCATCCTAGGTGGCAGGCAGATGATGTCCCAAATGCTCAGGCTTCTATGGGAAACTCAGTTGGAGTTCCTGGTTTTAGTCTGGTCTAGCCCTGACTGTTGTGGCCATTTGGGGAGAATCAATGGTCTTGGCACAGCCCCAGCTATCCTGGGGATCTGGAAGTGAAATAATTGGTAGAAGATTCTTTCTGTGCCTCTTTCTGTCTTTCAAACAAAAGGAAAATAAATAATAGCAACAACAGTACGGGGGTGGGTTCTCAAGTTTCTCACTCTCTGGGATGCAATTATCTGTCTACCTTTCTCCTTGGTCAGAAAGGCTTGCGGCTTTGACCTTTGACCTCTTCCTCATCATTGTTGGAAATTAACCTTGTAGTAGTAAGAAAGTTGTAAAGCAAGAAAACCACAATGTTACTGACAAGAGGCGGAGTCTCATTGGTGTGTGTGTGGGGGGGTGTGCGTTTGGGGGTTGGGTGCAGATAAGGTATGTATTCAAAGCTTAAATGCATTTCTCTATGAAGCAGTTAAGAATTTTCTGGAGGAAGGGTTTCATATGACATATGCTATAATTATTCTGAGAAATGGGCCTCTGTCTGACTGCCGTGAGGCTTGCCACCCCGAGGGGAGCAGGGACGATACCTGGCTGTAGTTGAGGATCTTGAAGACAGACTCGGAGACAAAGAGTATCTTCCCTCGGTCACATCCTACGACAAATAAAAATCCATCTGCTGCCTAATCAGGAGAAATGGATAATCGAGTTATCACACTTTAGGAAATAGGACTTGTAATCACGTTGATAGCAAATCAAGGACTTGTTTTCTAAGGCTCCAAATTACAGGAACATTCATTCACAATTTTCACAAGACACTTGAATCCTTGATGGGAACAGACGCTCCCCAGGGCCACTGACGGATCTTATGTCCCTCTGCCTCGGATATTTACATACATCCAGAAAGCACTGAATGACTACAGGGAAAAGGCCAATCCTGAGAGTTCCAGTTCAAACAAAAACTCTGTGCGAAATCACATTTCATTGTTGCAACTGTAATTACCCTAGGGAGAACTCTATAGAATCTGAGATCAGAATCCCTTGTCCAATGTCTTAGCCACCATCTTCCCTGAACATTGCTTGCCACTTCGAACACACTGGCCGGGGGGAGCTGCACCCTGAGAGCCAGCACAGGATGGCACGAGCAGCTGAGCGGCCCTCCAGCTGCCAGGCTGCGGGCAGCAGTCAGGTACATGTGGGACAGCCTGTGAAGCTCTCAGAGCTTCAGCTGTAGTCTCTACCAAATGTGCTTTTATCTCTAGCAACACTTCAGATCTTCACCTGTATTGAAACTGAGGACTCTAAGGGACACTTTGTACTTTCCTTTTTCTTGTCTTATAATACAAATACCTTAGCCATGGATCAAGAGAAATTAGTTTTCAAGCCTGTGTACATCTGAGTCACACTGGTACGGGGGTTCAAACAAGACCAGCAACACAGCCCTGTGCCAGCCATCAACATGGAAATGAAAGCCAAAACCACTGTAGGGGTGGGCACTGTGGAGCTGTAAGTTCAGCTACTGCCTGGGATCCCCACATCCTACGTTGGCGGGCTCCTGTAGACAGTGAACTCCTGGTTCTTGAGCCTCAGTTCCCCCAGTGCTACCACATGGCGAGCCAATCTCTTGCTTTATTCACTCATTTTGAGTCTGCTCTTTGGAAAAAAACCAGAAGATCTCTGTACCCATTTCCACAAAAGTACCTTTGGGATTTAAGTTAATTCACCGAACCAGGGAATGAATGTAAGTGGCTGCAGGTGAAGGAATGGTACATGTGCTGCTGGGGAGGCAGCAGTGATGGGGCGAACAGATCAGCATTGCTGTGTGCACCTGGCAGCCCACCCAGCCGGAAGGAAGCCAGGAGGGATCCTTTCCTAAGTTAGGTCGCTAAGCTGGCTGGGGGCAAGGGATGACAGTGAGGAGGAAGTGCCTCTTTGGGCCACCATCTGCTGGAAGCCGCACTCTGCCAAAAAGCAGGGTATTAATAACTTCCTCATTTGCCTGGCAGACAGCCTCTCATCTCACAAGAAGACTGGCTTGAGGCTCTCCATTGATGTGGCAGCTTAGGTGGCTGGAAAGGTGTCTGGCAGGAAGGTGACAGAGGGTTTCTGCTGGGCAGAGGGTTGTGGGGCTGGCTGGGCAAAGTCAGGGCTGGACTGAGTCAAGGGTAAAGCAGACTTTAACCGAGGCATGTTAAAGCGAGCCGGCTCCAGAGCCCCATGAACAGAGTCTGTGCAGGGAGACCGTGAACACCCCAACTCTACCGCACTCTGTAGGTAGGCCAAGGGGGGAGGGGGCTGGGCACAAGGGGCCAGCTGGGGAGCCAAGCTGAGAGCCCTGCAGGGAGCACAGGGCCCGGGGGCCAACAAGGGGCAGGTCTGTTCTTGGAGAACACAGGCCATATATACACCAGAGTGTTGGTTGGGCTGCCAAGTCTGCAAAACATGGGGAAGCAGAGATTCTAGATGGATAAGGTTTGCCGATGCCTGATCACAGCTTATTAAAAGATATTTAGAGGTACTTATTGAGGTACTTAGTGCTGCTAGACTGGCATGGGCGAGGGAAAGTGGAAGGCTAGCTCCTGCAGCCAAACTATCGTTTAGATAGCTGCTGAGGGCTTTCCCCCGCCCTCCCCAAAACATCAAGGCAGCAGTATGTTCATTGGGACCCATAGTTTGCAGGGCCCAGTACAAAATGAAAATGTTGGGCATCCTGGGTGAAAAATTAAGATTTTTCAAGATGGTGACAGGAGAGTACTGAATCAACCATTGTGCTCGGGGTAAGTGCCTGGAGCCAGGCCTGCCACACTTAGTGTTTTTTGTTGAAGGGGTGGCTTTCTTTCTTTTTTTTTTTTAATTTTAATCTCAGCACATCCTGAGACCAAGGACATTTCTTTTTTTTGTTTGTTTGTTTAAATGGGCTTATATATATATATATATATATATATATTTATATATTTATATATTATATATATATATAAATATATAATATATTTATAATATATATATATTTTTTTAAAAGATTTATTATTATTATTATTATTATTTTTTTTTATTGGAAAGGCGGATATACAGAGAGGAGAGACAGAGAAGAAGATCTTCCATCCGATGATTCACTCCCCAAGTGAGCGCAATGGCCGATACTATGCCGATCCAAAGCCAGGAGCCTCTTCCGGGTCTCCCACATGGGTGCAGGGTCCCAAAGCTTTGGGCCGTCCTCGACTGCTTTCCCGGGCCACAGGCAGGGAGCTGGAAGGGAAGCGGGGCTGCCGGGATTAGAACCGGCGCCCATATGGGATCCCGGGCATGTAAGGTGAGGACCTTAACCACTTGCGCCACCGCGCCGGGCCCACCCAAGGACATTTCTACAGGAAGGATGAAGGGGTAGGGCAGAGTTGGGGGTCTGAAGCACTGAGCCCCGAGAGTGCTATCCCAAAGGCCATGCATGTGGGCTCCACCCGGAAGTGACTGTCATGGATTTGCATACTTCTAGAACAGTGCCATGTGTCCTGAAGCAAGAATGTTCTCTGAACTCATAAATAAACCAGAATGAAAGGCAGAGGCCTGCACATCCTTTCTGAAAGTCACAAAGGGTTCAAAGTGTCACTGATGACAAGCTGGGCCATTTGGGTAGACATAAAAGCCCTATGTTGGTTGAAGAACATGAACTGCATCCTGCAAAAGATGCTAAAATCCTAGCCTAGTAAGAATTCATGTATGATAGAGCCCCCAGGGGAGTACTGTAGCTGTCCAGAATGGGGCACCCATAGGACGCCTTCTTAGGCGAGAAGTCCTGCGTCAGAAGCACCATGAAGCCACCTAGCCCATGGCTGAAGAGTTGTACTGGATTGCAGGAGCCACTTACAGAGGGAAGTGCAGCAATGGCTGTAGCTCTGGAAAATCTAGACCCTTGCTTCTACACGCTGCTCAGTATTGGAAGGCGACCAAGTGGCCCCTTCCCCAGTAAGCTGCAGTTCAACATTAGGGCCTCCAGTGCAGACATATCCTCGGTGACAAGAGAGGCAGTCTGCCACCCACTCCAGTTGTTCTGGCTATGCAGACCTGGCAAGGCCTTCTTGTTTTAAGAATGAACCCAGCTAGCTGCTACTAATGTGAGATGGTTGTATGAGAAGACAGAGCCTGGCTCAGGCTGACCTCACAACACCACCACAGCATCCCCACACAACCTGCACAGGACAGATGTCAAGAAATGAAACTTTTGCTATTCATCGGGTCTTCCATTTCTTGCAGCCAAGAGCGTTCCCATTTGACAGAGCATTGGAGAGAGCACCTGGGCCAGGTCAAGAGTGCCTGGGGTGAACCGACAACAGGTACCAGTGAGGGAAACATCCGGCTGCACTGGCTTCTACTCCTGTGCTCTACAGCCAAAGATTTCCACTCCAGATGCTGCAGGGGACTGGGCAGGCAAGGTCAGCCCTGGCTGCGTGGGACAGGGGATAGGTATCCTTCCTTAGAGTTACGGTTTTCTTTTTTTCTACCTTAAGTTCCAAACCAGTTCCTCTCTCTTCCGCCTATAGGTAAATCTCACTCTTTACAGCAGCAAAAGTGGACTCTGTGCAGACCGGGTTCCGCGCAGAATTCCACTGAAGGGAGAAGCCAGCTAGTTCCCAGAGGACCACCTCAAGCAGCTCGCTGCACAAACTTGACAAAGAAGTGTAAAGTCAAGTAGGCAGAAGCATCTCCTCTTCCACTGGATCTTCTTGTTCACCTTTGTTGTTTTGACTTAGAGACTTAGGTGGGAATTTCTGTGTTCCTGGTTATGCCAGAAGAAAGATTCTCCAATGTTGTCAGTTTCTGGCCCCTTCTAAGGTCCTCACTCCCTCTTATTTTATACAAAATCCTGCCTCTTCTGATTTAAAATCACAGCAGCAAAGTTCTTTCATTTTCACCCAAGCAGGGTCAAAGAAGAACAAAAAGGTTTTGTGGGGGAACATGACGCCTACCCAAACAGTGACATAAAGATGGGGACTCTGGCCTGGTTAAGCTTTTACCTGTGACACTGGCATCCATACTGGAGCACTGGCTCACATCCTGGCTGCTCTCCTTCCAATCCAGCTCCCTGCTAATGCTGACCTAAGTTCTTGCGCCCTTGCCATGCACATGGGAGAATACGGACTGAGTTCTAGGTTTCTGCCATAGGCCTGGCCCAGCTTGGACCATTGTGGCCATTTTGGAAGTAAGCCAGTAAATGGAAGATCTCTCTATCTCTGTGTTACTGTCTTTCCAATAAAACAGATCTTAAAAACAAAGCAAATACACAAAAATCAGAAAGGTGGCAACCTAAGAGAGGACGTGTGCACATATGGTTCATATTCAGGTGTCAGATCCCACTCGCTAGGGCTTACTCTGAAACGTATCCAAACACATGCTATGCAAAACAATCCCAAATTAGCCACATACCCTGAGAATGAGGTGTTTCAATTCATCGTCTGACAGAAATGTTGGCTTGTAGTTTGCTTCTGTGTAGGGATTTGTGGCACCTTAGAGGAAAAGAAGAAAAGTTGGCACACTTGACGTTGACCTAATGCCTCACTCCACCTCCCTACCTCACGCCATCTGGGACGGGACCTGGTCTCTACCATGCAGGACTTTCATCTCTCCTCCTTTTTCCATAATGGAGACAGGGTTAATCTGGCTTTGGACAGAATCCTACAATCCCAGAGAATTCCACTGAAAAGAGAAACTGCTGTTTACAGGAGATTTAAACTTGCTTGTCTCATTTAAGGGAATGAGAATTCCCAGAAGAGTTCCAGAAGTCTGCCTCTAAGAGGGAAAGCAGCCGCAGTGGCTCCTGCAGGCATCCCCTCCTGTGCTGGCTCCAGTGGTGGCCGAGCACTCCCCCAGGTCACCACCACCCGTACAGGAAATCATCCAGCCCCCTCACCGGGCCCTGGGGAAAGGCACCGTGGAAGGTAGTTAGTGCGAGTCTCTCTTCACCAGGGATGAGTGAAGGGCACTTGGCAACTCCTTCAGTTAACACAGCACTAGCCCCCTGGGACTAACAGAGGGCAAGCCTTGGGCTTTAAACTCAGGCTGTCTGTCTGGTGTTCCCCAGAACAACAGCTGAGAAAGATGGCAGTGGAGGGAGAACAGGGAAGGAATCGAGCCAAACGGATCCACAGCAACCTAAAGCCACGTGGGGAACGCAGCTGACTGGATGCGCCTGCGACTTGCACGTCAACCAGCTCAGTACCTAGCCTACCTACCCACGCCTCTGCTTTTCATCCTAACTTGAGATTTGCCACTTTTCCCCTTCCATTTTAGTAGAAACACTTCTATAATAATTTAACTCACTGTCTTTGCTCATTTTTAATGATGTTTTTGAATGTAATGATGATCAGAGGTCAAAATCGGCTTCCTATTTCTATAGACCTTGTGCAAGTGTAAAGATACCACTCTTTAATGACACAGGTCAGAGGTCAGAGTGGGTGTCAGTCTTCCAATTTCTGCCAACAGTCCAAGGCTAGCTATGGAAAGTTCCAGAACAGCATTCACTAAAATGTCTGACACATTTTCCTTACGATCTGGAAAAGCACTTCCACTTTTCAGCCTCTATTTCCTCACCCTCTCCACAACTGGAAAAGAAGGAAACCACTGCTTCCCTCACAAAGAGCCAACCTGGTTGAGGAAAATTCTAGGAAGATGAAAATATCACCCGTGTTCATTTCTGACACTGAAATGCAGCAGGAGCCATTAGCTGGTGACTCATTCTTCAAAGGAATCCTGACAAATTCGCCTCTGAAAAAACCCAAACAGCCTTTCGAGTGTCCCTGCCGTGAGGTGGAGTCCAGGGGCACACACAATCCCACAGGACACCACGTCAGCAGTGCCCTCCCCGCTAGGCAGGAAGCCCACTGCCAGGCACACACGCAGAGATGTGCAGGGCATACGGCTTGGGCCTTCTGGGGCTCTGTGACTGCAGAGTTGCATCCCAAGACTTACCCCGTCTCAGTTAACACCTGGCACCAGGGCTGCTGCTGACAAACACAACGTACTACATGCAGCGAGGTGCTAGGATGGAATCGACCTTCGCCTGGACACTCGGGAACATTCTAGCCAAGGATGGCAACATTGGTGGACACGGATGTGAAGGACAGTCAGCCTGCACCAGGGCCTCACCTCTCAGTGTCTTCATATGCTGGACGGCCATTCTGAGCACGGTCAGCTTGTCCAGTTTCCTGGACATGGCATTACACGTTGGTACCAAAGACGCCAGTTCATCAATGAAACTGTTCATTTTATCCCGGCGCCTCTTTTCAATCTGACTGTGAGCTTCCCTGCACAGCAACATGAAAGATGATATCTCAGGAAATGGAACCGAGTATTAGGGAAACGACAAAAATAAATGAGTTGTAACTTCTCAATATTCCTCAGATAGGACAGATGTCGATTTTGCAGAATGGTGTAGACTGGCTGCTTCTACTAACGTCACTCCCCAAAAGCAGTCTCCCTGCCAGGGCAGTTCCCGTTTCCTTACATTCACCCCATTCTTAGCATTCAGGAAGAGAATGCTATAAACTGTCATTCCAAGGAAACTGAATCAGTTTCTCCCCATTGCTTCCACTCCCAGCCTCTGCAAAACTGGATTTAGAGATGGGAGTGGAAGGAGAGAGAAGGGAAGCAGAGGTTTCACAGAGCAGTGTCTGGAGCAGCCACTACAGCCCAGCCCACAGTGGGTTGTCTGTGCTCCAAGTGGAGCCCACAGTGTGGCCAGTGGATGATATCATGTCCTCCCACTGTTAGCCTGTCTGAGGCTCATTGCACTAATGCATGTGGGCCATCTGTGGTTCAGGTGGGACTCTCCAACATGCAGCAGACCTTGCATCTGAGCCCCAGAGCTTCCCTGAGGGGTACCGAGGTACAGCAGCAGGTACATGGCACCACCTGCAAAGGTTGTCTGCCAGGGGGAAACTTGAGAGGTTGGACCACCGCTTTGTGCAACCCCTGGTTCTGTGCATCACAACACAATCCTGGATAGGTCTGCCACTGATGGCAGGGGAGGCCCCAGAGCCAATGGGAAGAGGTCAGCATGTGGGACTGAAGGCGGGGGAGGTCCCCTGAGAGGATCTTCTCAGCGGAGCAGAGTGTGTGCTTTGTCCTGCCCTTGTGGAGTGTCTTACAGCTCTGAGAAGCATCACTCCAGGAGCACAGCACAGCCCAGACATGGACTCCCTGAGACAGGCCTCCTTTGTGGGGCCCAGGAGTCAGGGAGGAAGAGCCTGCTACAGATAAGGGCAGGGGAACTGGAGGGATTTCTTGCTAGCTCCACAGTCTCTGTTAGCTTCAGCATGTGTAGACAGCAAAGGCTGAAGGCCAGCTCCACTTCGAAAAAGCAGAGGGCAAATGGTGATGTCAAGTCAAGACCCACTGCCCTGCTTCTTAAGGACATGACAGTGCCCAAAAGGACCAGTGGCCACGCAGGGATTGAGCACTCGGTGTACTTCAGCTGCCCTCTAGACAGCTGAAACTCAAAGTTTGTGGGTGAAATGGGGTCAAGACTTACCTTGCATTTTTGATCCTGCCTTGGTGCTCTGTGTATTCTAACCTGGGTGGGGAGGGAAGCAAAAGATAAAAATGCAATCCTCTATAAGTGCACGGCCATTACTCACTCCTGTTCTCTTTCTGCCTGACTCGTGTTTGCTCTTGGTGGCTGGCCACATAGGGAAGGAGCTTGGAGGGAGACAGGCTGGAGCCTGCCAGTTCATGGTCTCCGTGCTTATCTCTGGTTAAGGACATGGGAATGTAACCATGCAAGAAAACGGCTACGGGGATACAGAAGTTCAAATGACTAGGTTCATGGTACCTTCCATGGGGGTCATCTTTGTCTGTGTCCATGCTTTCTCTGGAAAAACAAGAGAGAATGTGACTGTTAATGAAGATATATAGAATAGCTTGGTGTCATACAGAAATCTCTCATTCATCCAGAAACCCAACTGTTGGCTCGAGGAGCCTTGGTACTAATTCATGAAGGAGAATAGTAAAACAATGAATGTGCAAAGCTGACACAGCTTTTCAGATTATCATGTGAGAGTTACATACAGTCTCAGTGGAGTTTGGTTGTTAACATCAATTTTACCTTATTCTGACTGAAAATTAAGAATATATAGTGCTGATGGAAACTCTTGCAGCATCCACAACCTCATTCCTTCAGCATTCTGGATAAATGGAGCTTATTCCATTTGCAAAACATATAAAGCATCAAAGACACCCATATACACCTGTCTGTTTGATGGAGAGGGAGAGTAAGGGGAGGAAGGGAATGAGAGCAACAGAGGGGTACTGGAGCAGAGCTAGGCTGCATTTCCAAGGCACTGAAACACATGGTCTGGGCTTCAGGACCTGGCACGGAGGGGAGCAGTGGGCCGAGGACCATTTGGCATCCTGCAGTCAAGGTTGTGCGTCCCTTGCACAGGCCCCGGAAACACAAGCTTCCTGACAGCCTGCAGCTCAGTGGGAAAAACAGATGGAATGTCCTCGAGGTGGGACTTCCAAGTCATCCCAGGTCAGCTCTGCTGCTTCCTGGTGGCCACCAGCCATCACCTGGGCTTCTCCCCACTCTCCATCACACAGGTGGGATGAAGACCCTGCTGACGTGACATCTCCTGGGCACAAATAGGTGCTCCCAGGAGCACTGGGTCACATGGCCGGCAGTCTAGAACAGTCTAGGTGTCTTGGCTTCCTCAGGTCTGAGGTTCTTTGGCCAGTCTCTAAAGTTCAGAGGAAATTGAACTGGATTCTTGAACTGGAGTTTTGGAAACAAACTCCAACCCCACCCCTGCTGCTTCACAGGGTGGCTGCTCTTGAGATCGGCAGCTCTGCCTGGCTGTTCTGTGTGTCTTTGGGGTAGTCAGGCTCTGGGGAAAGGCTCCATGGTGGCTTAAACAGCCAAGACTCCAGAAATCAGAGAACATTTGCAAACTGGACTCCAACTTGTGGGGAATCGGAAGAGTGTTGCACAGCAACAAGTATGGAAAGCCCAGTTCTAGACTGCTGCCGTCTGTGAATGTGGAGTCAGTGGTTTGGGGACACACTGCCTGCTCCCGCTGCCAGCAGGCAGCTCCTGCTACAAGAGAGCCTTGCTGACCTTGTATCCACTGTCCTTCCACTGGACAGCACACTCTTCCTCATCTGGACTAATTTACATGTTAATTCCAGCATCTCCTAGTGGGCAGTTGCCCTCCTGCCACTGTGCTCCCCAAATCCAACTGGTGGACTTCAGCTAAAAGAACATCTGCTAGGGGGAGAATGGCAGGGGGAGGTACACCACCTTGGAGATTTTTTTCCCCCATTAAACAAAAGAAAACCTCTTCAGAGGTCATGTGGGTAAGATCCATGCAGGGGCCTGAACAGACTAAAGCATGCCTTTGAAGACTACATTGCCTCGTTCCCTAGGTATCTGTATCAATATGGGAGACTTGACTGCAGGCATAGAAATTTACTTACTCAAAAAGAAAAGTCATCAAGTCTAAAAAGAAGCAAAAATACTATTTAAGATGACAGGTACATGCTACTTTAAGTCATGTTTCGAGACAATTTCCAGGGCTCCTGCGCTGTTTTCAGAGATGGCCTCTACAAGCACTCACTCCCCAGACACCCACTGAGCACCTGCTACTTGCTGTCTTCTTCTCACAGGAGGCCTCAGACCAAGTCTCCTTGAAACTTCCTGAGACTACACCCACAGCCTTCATCCCCTTGCTCAAAGGAGAGAGGAGGCAGAATGTGGCTTCCAGGCTGTTCATCTTCCCTGGACATGGAATAGTCTGGGGATAGGAGGAGATAAGGCCCCCCCCTCCCCCTCGCAGAGCTGGGGGCATCCTTGGGCTTAAAACCTAGGCAAGGATAAAGGCAACCCCAACCTCACGGTCACCTAGCATTACCGTCCTCCCAGCCCTGCATCTAGGGGCAGCAGCAGCTGGCCCCTGGGTGGCCCACACCTGTAGGTGGACACTGAGCACTGCCTAGGGATGGACGAGCCCTGCAGGCCTTACTGGTAGTCAGTAGAGCTTCCTTTGCGCTTGCGATTGCAGTCCATGCCTCCAGAGCTGAGGGAGCTGGATAGCAGGTCCGGGGGGCCGGGGGACATGAAGTCACTGATGGTGGAAGAAATGTCCATCCTCTGGTCCGCCATGGGAGGCTCTGGAATTATTAGCAGGCGGGTGTTGATTGCAATGGAGTTGGCTTAAGGTATTCACACATCTCAGCTCCCACCAAACCACAGGCACAAAGAAGAAAGCAAAGGGTAGGACACAGGAAACTGAGCAGCCCTGTTCCATCTTCTGGAGAAGACACAAAAGCCCCCAGAGGCTGAGCTCCTGCAGCTCAAGGAGCAACAACCCTGTGCCGTCCCCGCTGTGCCCAGGGTCCCAGATGCTCGCTGAGGGCCTCAGGTCATCTGCCAGTTGGTACACTTGCGCTCGATGAGATAAATGAATGTGATTTACTGGTTGTCTTCTTCAGTGGAAAAACTTCAAGAAAACAGCCTTCTTCTGAGCCTACTTCCTTCTTGGGAAGCAGGAGTTCAGGGCCACTCTCTCTCAGGAGTCCCACCTTTCCTGCTAGCTGCCCTTCAGTACCCAAGGAAAACCTTGCAGAATGAAGACACTGTAAATGAATCTGCCAAGCATCCCAAAAACCTATATTTTGAGAGCAGGAAAGTGAGCTGAACCCCCCAAAAGAGGCCACGTACCTTGCAAGGGACTCCAACTTCAAAACTAGGTGAGGAGGTCAGGCCCTGGTGACAGTCAGGGGTCCTGGCTCTGGGTGATCCACCTGGAGCTGTCACTCCCGGCCTCTGGGCCCGAGTTTCCTCATCTGCAAAACAAGAAGATGAATGAGAGCTCCTGGTGAACCCTTGAGGCCATCTGGGTGCCAATTCTGTACTTTTCTAAGCACTGCTAGAATGAATACTTCTGTGCATTTATCTCCATGCCCCCCACCCCTACCCCTGCACTCTCTCTCAGACTATACTACTTAAGAGTGGGACTAGCAGTCAACATTGTGGCACAGTGGGTTAACCTGCCATTTGAGAGGCTCACATCCCCTGTAAGTGTGGGCCTGAGTCCTGACTGCTCGATTATGGATCTAGCTCCCCACTAATGTGTCTGTTAAGCCAAGAACATGCATCCCTCTACCCATGTGAGAGACCTAGATGCAATTTCAGGCTCTTGGCTTCTACCAGGACTAGCTTTGGCCATTGTTGCCAGCTGGGAAGTAAGGCAGAGGATGGAAGATCTTTCTGTTTCTGTGAATTCTGAAAAGGAAGGAAGGAAGGAAGGAAGGAAGGAAGGAAGGAAGGAAGGAAGGAAGGGAAGAAGGAAAGAAGGAAGGAAGGAAGGGAGGGAGGGAAAGAGAAAAGGAAAGAGAGAAAGAAAGAGAGGGAGAGAGGGAGGGAGGGGGAAGGAAGGAAGGAAGAAAGAAAGAAAGAAAGAAAGAAAGAAAGAAAGAAAGAAAGAAAGAAAGAAAGAAAGAAAGAAAGAAAGAAAGAAAGAAAGAAAGAAAGAAAGAAAGAAAGAAAGAAAGAAAGAAAGAAAGAAAGAAAGAAAGAAAGAAAAAAGAGAGAGAGGTGGGGAAGGAGGAAAGGAGGGAGAAGAGAAAGAACAGAAGGAAGGAAGAAAAAGAACAAGACTGATGGATTAAAGAAACACAAGTTGTGTGTTTAGGAATGTATTGAAACACTGTGCTTTGGACACGTTCCAGTCATTTCTATCTTCAACCAAAAAACTCTACCAGTAAGGGAGGGGAACACACACACACACACACACACACCATTTTCACTTACACATACAATTATTACTGATGGTACTTTAATTCTAGGGACATCTCTCTGCAGTCCCTTCTACCCTTGCCCTTGTTTTCTACCATGTCAGTCTCCCACCCCATGTCCCATGTTCACCTAGACACTTGGACATGACTGTCTTGAAACCCTTCCCTCCTCTGGCTGCCGTTTCTCGCACACTGCTAGCAACCACTTTCATCCTCGCTTGACAAGCTTCTAACATCGACCCAGTCCTCACCTTCAGCCAATAGCTGAGCAAAGAGGCCAGCGCCACCCTCAACAGCCCAGCACTTCCAATGGGACCCTACAGTCAGTCAAGCCTGGGCTCCTCCTCTCATCTACTGGAAGCCTTAGTACCATTCCCAGCTGGATAAAAACACGAGTTCTGTAACTCCCACCTTGGGAGATGGAAAATATTTTTGAACATCACTTCCCACCAGCTACTGGCCCATTTCTCTGTCTCCAGCTCTTTTCCTCTTAATTTTTGTACCTCGGCTCAGATCAGGTTTTTGTCCTGCTATTTCAACACAAAGAGTTTCCATGACTTTCCACTTCCTGAGCCAAAGGCCAGCTCTCCAGGCCCTAAGTGCCTGGCCCATCTGTGGCATCTGATGGAGCCGGACTCGCCCTCCTGCCTCTTGACTTCAGAGATGCCAGCCTCCATGGTCCTCCTTCCAATTCTTTGGTCATTCCTTTTTTTTTTTTTTTCTTTTAGCTGCCTCTGCACTGCCCTCCCCTCTCACTGAGGGTTCTGTGCATGGTCTGTGAGTCCCTTTCAGTCTAGGATCACCATGTGGGAGCTCCACACAGATTTACTGCTTCAAGTATTGCCTAGATTGGGACCACTGCCAGATGCTCATGCTCAACTACCCTCTTGACGCCTCCCTCTGAAGAGTCAACAGAAACCTCAAGCTGAAACTTCCAGAACCGGGAACCTGATGGCTTCTCCATCTGGGAGCAGTACCACAATCCTGCTCCCCGGCCAGGACTCCAACCCGCCTAACTCCTGTCTCCATAACCTTGCACCTGACCCATCTGTAAATCCCATCTACTCAACACTGCACAAACAGAATTCAGCCACTTCTTTCCTCTTTCCTCCATTTCTCTGTTCTCAAACAGCACTCAAACTTTCACTAGTGATGCTTCCTTGGCTGTGTAAAAGAACACAGACCTTGCCAACCACCTAAGCCAGTGCCTAATTTTATTTTTTTCCACGGTCTTTACCAAGATTTTGATCAAGAGTGATTTCCTCTTTACTCACCATGCCCTCTGTCAGGACAGCAGGTGTTTTGCAGAGTGTTTGCACCCCTAGCACCTAGAATACTTTCCAGCACATACTAAGCGTTTGATAAGTAGACACTCAACAGGTGATTTTATGATTTGGGAATAGCAATTCTTTATCTTACACCTTTGAACTTGATTGTAAAAATTCTTCTCACCCCCAAAATAATTACTAACACTTTTCCAATTTTACCTTTTATTCATACTTTACCTTAGTACTTAAGGGAACATTTTCTTATTTCCTATTAATGGATAGACTTTTGTCCTAACACTATTTGTCGGCCATATATTTTGTTAGCAATTGTTTGAAATGCTATCATTGGTTTATCTACTATTTCTGGACTTTCTATTCTGTTCTTCTGCTCTCATTCTTGCCATTCTACCAACCATGCTGTTTTCATGATTGCAGCTTTAGAATTTGTTGCTGTATTCAAGAGAACCAATCATTTGGCTCTTATTACATTTTTTCCCTGTCTTCAGAAATGCCATGGTTATTCTAATTTATCCTTCAGTGACTTACAATGACATAATCACTTTAGAGAGTTTTCTGACCTTGTCACTTTACACTCAGAGAAGCAGGGCCAGGGACGCAAGCAGAGCCACCCTCTTCCTGGCCCCCTGGGCTGCGTGCCAGACACGGGGTGCCCTGGTGTCCCCACCCTCTCTTCTGGAGCAGTCAAGTGACTGGACATGGTGGAATGTTGTAAGTGTCAGGGTTCCAGAGAGAAACCACAGTCCTGAGAGAAAGGACTGCCACGCGAGCTGTAGCTATGGGGGTGGTGGGAAGGAATTACTCATTCATTACCTGAAGTCACAGTTGTTAAACCTCCAATCCAGCATGTGAGGACTGAGGGACTGCTGGATGTGTCGATCACCTCAAAGCGATGCTCATGCTTTGTAATCTCCTCGCCAGCCAGTCAACTTCTTCCCAAAACCTACGGCAGGAACCATGGGGTGCGCACAAGTGAGGTCAAGGCGGGCAGCACTTAGTCCCCGCGGCAGGGAGGACGACTAGCCAGGCTCTGTCCCCTAGCACCCCGCACTGTGCTCAGTGCCAGGCTCGAGGCCCCCCCTTCCACTCCTTCTTAACTCCCCACTGCAGATCCACCTGGCAGGAGACATTTTTGTATGAAAACCAGCGCCCTCTGTGTTACTGCAAAGGAATGTATGAGTCTGTTGTCAGCTAGGCTTGTTTCTCCCATCGGTGGAAGAAGTAAATACTACACTTTTTGGACAGCCCTGCCGCTGTTTTTCATAGATGAACTCGCTCACTCCATGTGGCCCGCACCGTTGTTTCCTTTATCACACAGAGACAGACTGAGGCACAGAGGGCGATAAGCCAGCCAGGGAAAGGTGGGCCTTCTGAAGCCCCCTCCCACCACCGCACACCTCACTCAGCTCTCCCAGGTGAGCACGGGGACCAGAACCCAGACACCGAGGACCAGCAGTGAACCTGTCTAGAAAACAGCATGCCAGCCAGGCCACCACCTGGGACCCGGTGCAGGCACGGAGCCGAACTGCTTAAGGGAAACATCTGCGAGCCTCAACTACCCCCAGCACGCAGGGGGCACAGAGAAAGCCACTCTGCATGGGGCATGCTGCCGTTCCCTCTCTGACAGCACAAGGGGCCTCCGAGCAACTCTCTCTGCTGCAGGCTTCCTGCCTCCAGGAAGAACTGAACTGAAGAAAAGACAAAAGTGCCTCCCCATCGCCCAACCCCAGTCCTCAGCCCCTGCTCTGAGGCCAAGGCTCGCCTCTTCCATGGAGCCTTCCTAATTTCTGCAGCAAAGGCGGCATCATTTCCCACTGCATGGGCTAATCCTCCCGGTCTCTGGCATACACCATGAGAGACCCTCTGGGGATGGACCCCTGCACAGCTGCTCCTGCCCTCTCACCACACTCCTCTTCACTGTCAGGTTCAGAACCCTCCCCAGGGGGACTCACCCATCCTGGGCACCTTCTAGTTCCCAAGCCTCAACATGGGGGGAGTAGCAAGAAAAAGATGCAAAATCCTCAGCCTACGATATGTAATTCTGTCTAAATTTGATTCCCTGTGCGGGTCACATGCTATCCTCCCAGCCCCCAAATTAGCAGCCCGGCATCCACCCTGGACTCCCTCCCTCTCTCCGCACAGCCCTCGGAGGGAGGGGTCGAGCTGCTGCCCACAGTCTCCAGTCCCTGCCTCTCTGCTTAACCACCATCCTCTCTGTGGGGGCAGACAGGACAACCCCTCTTGGCTTGGGACACTTCTCTGCTCCACTTCCCTGCTGCACACTGAGCCTTCCAGACAGAACCCCACATTACCTGGCAGGAAACATCAGGCTTCGCTTGGTCTCCAGCCCAAGCCTGCCCATCAGCTGCCGGAAGCTCCGGCCAGACTGCCATAGTGAGGGCTGTAGCAGCTGCCTGGCTGAGCCGGCCTGGGGGCAGGGACGGGGCAGCCCTCTCCACCCCCTAGCCCGAGGCCTGGTGGAGCTCTGCTTTTCTCCCACGGCCCTCAGGTGGGTTGCACCTGCCTTCCCTGCCGCTGGCAGCTCACACCCAGCGCCTGCTTTCAGGACAGTCTCCCCACATGTCCAGGCCCCAGCTTACGGGAGCCTCTCCGTTCCCAGCCCATACCTCACCCCAGGTGCTACCTAGCAAACATGAAATGAGTGAACAAGTGCACGTCCTTTCTGCGTGTCCCACTTGAATGTAGGCTCTGCTAAGGTCCATGTGAAATGTGTCACCTTCACCACTGTTGCCAAGGAGCACACTCAGGGAAGTAACAAAGGCTAACGTAAATGCAGGCTCGCCCTCTGTTACTAAACAATAACCACAAGGTCTTTGTTGTGCGCTTCGACAAGGTAAAGAAACTTAGCAGCTTCAATTATTTTTGGAAAACTGTTTTCACTTCCAAAAGGTGTGCTTAGATGTAAGAACGATCAATAAAATAATATACAAGTGAACTACCGGGACCACTTGAGCAAGGATCTCAGAGCATGCCCTACATTGGGACCTGGGGCAGGTGGGAGACTGGGTGGGGCTTCTCCTCAATATTCCCTTTAGCCCTTGTAACTTTTTATCCTAATCAACAATGTAAAGATTGCTAAAATATAATAAAAATTAAATAAATAAATGTATTTTTTATTAAAAAAAAAAAAAGAAACAACATACAAGTGAAAAAACCCCACTGTGCTAACCACTGCCAAAAGGGATGTGTCAGGAGAGGTGTTGGGGGCCCCTTGGGGCCGGCCTGGGGACACCATTTGCGTGGCTCACAACAGGGACGATGGCAGCAGGGCCTGGCCTGTGATCCCACGTGGAGTCTGTGGGTGTGTCCACTTCTGAGCTAGAGATTCTCAAAGTGAGGAGGGAAGACCTGCTGGCTGGCCAGAGAAAGTAGGGCCATGAAGGTTGAATGCCAGCTCTTTAAGCAACCCTCGCCAGCCTACCGGCAGGAAGCTACCAAAACCCCTAGCTCCCACCAGGAACTGCTCCCCTTCCTCATGTCCCTGCTCTGGCACCCAGAGGCTATGAGACCAGAGGGGAGAGTCTCGGAGATTACAGCCATGTTCAAAGCTAGCGGCCCCTCCGTGTGGGAAGCTTCCGCCCTGTGGCCCTAGGACCTGTCCTCATGAACACAGCTGGCGCTGCAACAGGACATTAGACGCACATCCCTCGCTCTGTGCGCAGGACCGAGAGGCCCCCTTCACAAGGCCCCACGTGGACACTGCTGGGGAGAAAAAAATCCCTTCCATCGAGAGCCACTGTGTCCCTGAGGCTGTGGGCCGTGCAAGCCACTGGCTTGTCCGTTCGCCTAGGACATTCCTGTTCTTGAGTCAAAACCCTGTGTCCTAGGAATCCCATTTCAGAATAACCAGGACATGGGTCAGTGTTCTGATCAGGACTGTGGAACGCATCGGCGCCCGGAGCCACATGAGGAGGGACGGGCCCGGCAGCCTTACCCTGGATGACGGTGATCTCAGAACAGCTTCCTGTTCATGGTGATCATTACCCCAGCTTTCCCAGCGAGCAACTAAAGGTTGTAAAGACAATGCATATACTGCTACAAATGGCACGGCTAGGAAGTGCACTGGCTTCACTGCTGGTGCTTCTAATTACCACATTGCTACAATCCTGCCTCCAAAAACCATGTCCAAAGGTAAAACAGAGAGATAAAATTGAAATAAGCAACACAGAAACATGCATTCCAGAGGAAGGAATGAGGGGGAAATTTTAAGAGGAAATCCTGGATCTGGAAAACTACAGGAACTGAACAAACAAGTTCTCATGGAGCTTCCTGGCAGCCATGACAAAGATGGAAACACCCAGCCCTCAGTGTTTAAGACCAGAAAGTACATCCATGGGGAGGCTCTCTCCAGGCAACCTGAGGGGATGCTGTGCTAAAAAGGAAGCCCAGAGGCTGGCACTGGGACACATGCAGTGAAGCCACCACCTGCAATGCCAGCATCCCATATGGGTGCCAGTTCATGCTGTGGCTGCTACCCTTCCAATTCAGCTCCTGCGAATGGCCTGGGAAAGGCAGCTGGGTGGGAGACACAGCTGAAGCTCCTGGCTATTATGGCCACGTGCGGAGTCCATCAACAGATGGAAGATCATCAGACATCAGCTTTCGTTCTAAGATTTATTTATTATAACTGAAAAGGCAGATTTACAGAGAGAGAAGGACAGATAACAAGATTTTCCATCCACTGGTTCACTCCCTTAGTGGCTGCAGTGGCTGGAGCTGAGCTGATCTGAAGCCAGGAGCTTCTTCCAGGTCTCCCATGTGGACACAGGGTCCCAAGGCTTTGGGCCATCCTCTGATGCTTTCCCAAGCCACAAAGAGTGCTGGATGGGAAGTGGAACAGCTGGGACATGAACTAGCATGGATAAGGAATCTGGTACTTTGCAGGGGGAGGATTAGCCAATTAAGCCATTGTTGCCCAGGTCAGACATCAGCTTTCAATGATGCAACTTCATAGAAAAACACACTGGAAAAACACAAACAACGGTGACCCAATACCACTGACCTGCATCTTCTCAGAAACCCCAGATTCCCCAGGAGGGGCACCTGCATTGGCACCTCGGCACCTCCACTGCCCATGATGGGCAGGCCCCAGGCACAGACTGTGCGCTCTAAGCACTGCCTTCCTTCTCCTGCCCGAAGAGTCCCAGCAGATGGCCCTCAGAGGGCATTCCTTATGTCATGGGGTTAACATCAATACCTGCCCAGGGAGTGAACCTCAGGCTGTGTCGGTGTGTTCACATGGCAGAAACCCGTGAACAGAAGGCTGTCCCCTCTGACCCTCGGTAGGAATGCTGAGAGCCTGGGGGAAGGGCAGTTTGTTTGCCTTGCTTTGCATCACATGGATGCAGAGAACTATCCCTGAGGGGACCACAGACCTAAGGTAGCAGCTGTTTGCACCAGTTATTCAATCCAGCATTTCTAGCCTCCAGGAGAAACCTGGGCAATGTGAAGGGACACTTCAGCAGCCCTTACGTTTAAGAGGCCTCCCCAGTGTAGCTACGGAGATGACATCAAAACATATACACAGCAACGTGGCCAGATGCAACAGGCTTGTCACCCACGCGGGCAGCTGCACACTGTCCAGCATCAGGAGGTACCCAAGTATTGTGGCAGACATGTCAAGCCATTACGACAAACCTCCAGCAGGTGGCAGTCGAGCATCTTGAGGAGAAAGTGCTTTTTGTTTTCCCCCTCTAGATGTGGGACTTACAGGAGGTACAGGAGTAGGACAGGAAACAAGTTTATTGGCTAACAGGGAGGGCGTGCAGCTACGAAAGGAGAGGGAGCCTGAAATATGCTGGCTGTCAGGGCAGGAGGGTGGCCTGGTGGCAGCAGGTGTTGGGGGATCCTGGAATCGCACAAACATTGCGTTCGGGCCTATGGGGCCTGCATAGCCAGTAGAGAGGATCTCACAAGGACTCA